GTAGGAAGAGGGTGGATAGTCTTCACCAACTCCGTCCACACCTTTGGGGACCCCTAGATCTGCTGGGGTTGGACCCCAGCACATCGGGAAGATGTCCGGTCTAATTAGCATATTACCCTTTTATTAGTATAGAGGAGAACATGTAAATTTACTGTTTTTAAATCCTGATTTTTCTAAATCTCATATTCAACTTTTACTTTTTGCTTTTTTATTTTATTTTAATCCTCACCCAATTGCATTGATTTCAGAGAGAGAGGAAGGGAGTGGGAGGGACGGAGGGAGAAACATAGATGTGAGAGAGAAACGTCCATTCACTGCCTCCCATACACGCCCCAACTGGGAACCAAACCAGCGACCTTTCGGCGCACAGGACGGTGCCAAACAAGGGGCCGCACCGGCCAGGACACACTCGCCCCTTTTAACCCACATTCTTCTTCCTCGCAAACAGAGAGACGTACAGTCCCTGACTCATAAAACCCAGAGAGCACTAACCACGGTCCATGGCTAGTTTCTCTGCTATCTGTTCAGCACACACCACTCACTGGATGTGCCTTCATCATTTTCTAGATTTTTCCTGAGCAAAGTCCTCTCCTTTTCCACATACCAGGTCCTGAGGATCAGAACACCACACAGAGGCAGAGAAGAACCGCTGCTCAGCCACAGCTGTTTAAAGACACGCTCACGCCTGCGAGGCCGTAAGAGGGCTGCCAGTGCACACGGGGACAGAATTTCCTGGGCAGAACCCAGTAACTGGACTCTGGTGTTGGCATCAATCAGTCGGCTACGGTCAGCATAAGACAAACACTGAAATCAGCTGATATTAAAAATCCAAAATTTGTATATCTATTTATAACCTCTACCACAAATACTTCTACCGAACGTTTCCTTACTTTGCATATGTCGCCTGCTAAATTCCAAGAAGAATTTCACAGGAGGTTACATCAGTGAAAGGGATCCTGATGCCAGCATTTTTTAAAATATATTTTTATTGATTTCGGAGAGGAAGGAAGTGGGAGAGAGAGAGAGAGAAACATCAGTGATGAGAGAGAATCATTGATCAGCTTCCTCCTACACACCCCACACTGGCGATCAAGCCCGCAAATTGGGCATGTGCCCTGACCAGGAATCAAACCGTGACCTCCTGGTTCACAGGTCGAAGCTCAACCCCTGAGCCACGCTGGCTGGGCCTGATGCCAGCATTTTTGTTCTTCCACTCATCCATCCATTCATCCAACAAACCACTGCTGGCCTGGGCACACCAGGTGCTCTTTTGGGTATTAGAGACATGCAGAACAACCTATATATATAAAAGGCTACTCTGCAGTGTCCCCTCGGGAGTTCGACCGGGAGACCGGGACTTCGATCGCTCCTATGACGTGCGCTGACCACCAGGGGGTGGCGCAGAACGAAGGAAGGAAGGCCCCAGCCGGCAGCCGGCAACCAGAAGGCTCCGATCGCCCTGATCGCCGGCCAGGCCTAGGGGCCCTGCCCGTGCACGAATGTCGTGCACCAGGCCTCTGGTTTAATATCACTGTGAACAGAGCAAAGGCGATGCTGCCATAGAGCTTACAATCCAGGAGGGAGACGGGCTTCTAAGAGCCGAGGACACTGCCTGCCGTGGGAGAACCATTACAGACGGTGGTTTCATATGCCGGTCGGGAAAGCTCCCCTCCCTGGAGCGTGGCTCGGTTGCTGGGTGCCATCCAGGCACAGAAAGGCTGCTGGGTCGGCTCTGGTCAGGGCACAGGCTCAGCTGCAGGCTGGGCCCCCAGTGGGAGACACACAGAGAAAGTCTCTCTCTCTCTCTCTCTCTCTCTCTCTCTCTCTCTCTCTCCCCCCAAAAAATAATTAATAAAAAATAAAATAAATAAAAAGGGCTTCCCTGTTATAGTGACACCTGAGCAAACCCAAAGGATTCCAGGCAAAAAAGGTAAGTGCAAAGGCCCCCCGTGCCCCAGCCACTTGCAAAGGGAGGAAGAGAGGCAGGGTGGCTGCCGCAGGGAGCGAGGGTCAGGGCTGTGGGAGGTGGGGGGTGGGGGGTGGGGGGAGGCTCGGGCCAGGGTGGAGGCTCTGCAGGCCATTTCCAGGGCCCGGCGTCCAGTCTGGGATGGTGGGCAGCCCCTGGAGGGCGGTGGGCAGAAAGGATCCTATTGAATGCTTTTAAAGGCCACTGGTGGTGCGAGGAGAGGAACACGGGCCAGAGCCGGCGGCCAGGTCACCCGGAGACCTCGGGCCCCGGGGACCCTGTACCTTCACGGCGTAGCCCTGTCTCCCAACAAGGAAAGCCGCCTTCGGCCGCTGCTCTCCTGCTCGGCCCTGGCTGGGAGCCCGAGTCCCGAGGGAAAGCAAAGGGCTCAGGAGTGACCTGTGGGCTCAGGCTCATCCACGGCCACGGCTCCTTCATCTCACTCTTCGCACAGCCTGGAGCTCCCGGCATCCGCCTCCTCAAAGCGACGCCGCGGGTCCGGATACGGATACGGGCCGTGTCCGTGCGATGTCCTCGTGCACACGGTGGACGGGTGTCAGTGGGCGCCCACGCACCTCCTCACGCATGCACCGCGCAGTCACAGCCACTACTATTCCCCCCATAAACCGAATGAAACGCACCGCGAACCCTAAACCGGCCACGCCGCCTTCTCCCGGACGAACGGGTGAGGTCCAGCCCCCCCACTCCTGCCCGTCACTTCCTTCAGCTGAGCCAGCAGCGCAGGCCACCAGGCCTCAGCTCCCCATTACAGAAACCCCGTGGGAAAGCCGCCCGCGTCCAGGGCGCCCTTCAGCTGGGGACCCCGTGGGAGCGCCATGCCCTGCTGAGAGGGCCGGCCCTCCTCGCTCAGGGCACCCCGACAGGGGAAGCACCCCATGTGTCCCCAGTCCTGGCCGGGCGCCTGGCTCGAGCAGCACCGAGTGCGATGCTGGCTCCACTCTTTAAACGTCGCCTCCCCAGCATCTCGTGGAATATTACTGGGCAGCACTTACACACACACAAACGCTGGAATTCGCTCAGGTTTTGCAAAAACCTCAGCCCATTCGCCAACAAATCCATGGCTTTTTTTTCTTTCCAAAGAGCAGGAGGGCAGGCATATGGGGTGGGGGTGGGGAGAGGCAGTGAAATGGAGTCCAGCTCCCTCTGAGCCGGGCTAGTGGGGGCGGGGGGAGGAGGAGGAGCTGAGGGCCAGTCCCTGGCTGGAGGGCCCTGGGCACCTGCCTGTGAGTTCCACCCCCGGAGGGGGGGGGGGGCGCCTTGCTGGGTGGGCTCACCAGGGCTCCTCCTCTCTGCCCTCTCCCCCTCCCTCCATCACAAACTCCCCTCACGGTGTGTCACATCCTGAAGGGATTCTTGCAAACTACCTCACACCCTTCCTTCCCGGAATAAGAAGAGAGAGAAATACATGAAAATCAATCAAGACTTTTTTCTCCAATGTCTGCATTTAAATACAGCAGGTGGGCGGCGGGGAGATGGGGAGCCGGACAGAAACGGATACAGAACAGGATGCTGAAGGGATGTGAGAGCCTGTGAGTGTGGGCGTAGGTGTGTGTGAGTGTGTGTGTCTATTGGAGTGTGTGTGGGGGGGTGTGAGTGTGTATGTGTGAGTCTGTGTGTGTGAATTTGTGTGTGTGCGCCAGTGAGTGTGTATGTCTGTGTGTGTGACTGTGTGTGTCTGTTGGAGTGTGTGTGTGTGTGAGTGTGCGTGTGTCTGTGTGAGTGTGTGTGTGTATGTGTGTGAGTGTGTCTGTGTGAGTGTGCGTGTGTCTGTGTGAGTGTGTGTGTCTGTGTGAGTGTGCGTGTGTATGTGTGTGTGAGTGTGCGTGTGTCTGTGTGAGTGTGTGTGTCTGTGTGAGTGTGTGTGTGTGTGTGTGTGAGCACCGTGTGAGTGTGGGTGTGTATGTGTGTGTGAGTGTGCGTGTGTCTGTGTGAGTGTGTGTGTGTCTGTGTGAGTGTGTGTGTCTGTGAGTGTGCGTGTGTCTGTTGCGTGTGTGTGTGTCTGTGTGAGTGTGGGTGTGTATGTGTGTGTGAGTGTGTGTCTCTGTGTGTGAGTGTGTCTGTGTGAGTGTGCGTGTGTCTGAGTGTGGGTGTGTATGTGTGTGAGCACTGTGTGAGTGTGGGGGGGTGTGAGTGTGTATGTATGTGAGTGTGTATGTCTGTGTGTATGAGTGTGTGTCGGTGTGTGTGTGTGTGTGTGTGAGTGTGCATGTCTGTGAGTGTGCGTGTGTCTGTGTGTGTCTGTGTGTGTGAGTGTGTGTGAGTGTGAGGTGTGTGCCCAGCCCAGCAGGGGGATCCTTCAGGAACAGGGAGGGAGGGAAGATCCATAGAGGCAGCACCGGCGCCCCCTCCCACCCCCTCTGCACCCACTGCACCCTCTGCAGAGCCGGGCTTCCCAGAAAGCTCCTGCCCTCAGGCTGACCCCCCACCCAATAGCACCCAGTCCTGGCAGGGAGGCCGGTGGGCAGGGGACCAGGGTGCCCAGGGTGCCCAGCGGGTTTGGGCTGAGCAGGGAGGCCGGTGGGCAGGGGATCTGGGCTGGGCGGGGGGTCCGGGTGCCCAGGGAGGCCGGTGGGCAGGGGACCAGGGTGCCCAGGGTGCCCAGCGGGTTTGGGCTGAGCAGGGAGGCCGGTGGGCAGGGGGTTTGGGCTGGGCAGGGAGGCCGGTGGGCAGGGGATCTGGGCTGGGCGGGGGGTCCGGGTGCCCAGGGAGGCCGGTGGGCAGGGGACCAGGGTGCCCAGGATGCCCAGCGGGTTTGGGCTGAGCAGGGAGGCCGGTGGGCAGGGGGTTTGGGCTGGGCAGGGAGGCCAGGTGCCCAGGGAGGCCGGTGGGCAGGGGGTTTGGGCTGGGCAGGGAGGCCAGGTGCCCAGGGAGGCCGGTGGGCAGGGGATCTGGGCTGAGCAGGGAGGCCGGGTGCCCAGGGAGGCCGCTGGGCAGGGAGAGGCCGCGGAGCTGCGCGGCGGGCAGGGCGGGGAGGGCGGGGAGGGCGGGATGCAGGGCCGGGGCGGGGACCTACCTGGCGCCGGGGAGGCGGAGGCCCCGGGCCCCTCGGGCGGGTCCTGCGCGGCCCGGTCCCGCGGCCGCGGGCGCTGCTGGATGAGGCTGAGGTCCGAGCGGCCGGGCTGGGCGGCGGGGACCGGGCGCGCCCGCAGCAGCAGCGCCAGGCCCAGGAGCAGCGCGCAGGGGAGCCTCGCCATGGCCGGCAGCCGGGGCCACGGCTCATGGCGGGCGGCGGGCGGGCGCCCTGGGCTGCGGCTCTCCGCCCGCTCCGCTCTGCGCGCTCCCGGCGGCGGGAGGCGGGCGCGGCGGGAGGAGCGGGAGGAGGGACCCGCATCCTCGCGCGAGTGCTCGCGGGGCGGGGCGCGGGGAGCGGGAGCCCGGCCACCCCGGCCGCCACCTGCGGCCCCGCCGGCACCCGGCCACCTGCGCCCTGACCCAGGCTGCGCCCTGACCACCAAAACCCACGGAACTACCACGGGCCCCGAAATGAACACGTAAGATTTGTGTTTACGCGCTAGCGAGGGACCACACGGACCAGCAATTAAGGAAAAAGTCCCACTTGCAGAGGCATTCGCGGAAAAGCCTTAGGAATACATTTACCCAAAGGGGACAGATCTGCAGACGGAAAACTGCGGAACAATGACGAGCGCAAGGAAGGCACGGGCGATGGAGCGCCACCCCTCGCGCGTGGGCTGGAAGAGTGAATGTGGTTGCACTGTCCGTACGCCCCGAAGCATCTAGAGAGTCACTGCAACCCCTTTCAGGATTCCAGTGGCCCTTTTCACAGAAATACTCCTTTTAAATCCTAAAATTCATATGAAACCACAAAAGGCCATGAGTAGCCAAAGCAATCTTGAGCAAAAAGAACAAAGCTGGAGATAATACCCTGCCTGACCTCAAAATACAATACAGCCCCAGGCGTGGCTCAGTGGTGGACCGTTGACCCATGAACCAGGAGGTCACGGTTCGATTCCCGGTCAAGAGAACATGTCTGGGCTGCTACTCTATTCCCAGGGTGGGGCGTGCAGGCAGCAGCCAATCAATGATTCTCTCTCATCATTGATGTTTCTCTCTCTCTCTCCCTCTTCCTTCCTCTCTGAAATTAAATTTATATACATAGATATATCTATATATACAAAAGCCTAAGTGACCCTTATGACCAGACAACGGATGGTCGCTATGACGAGCATTGACCACCAGGGGGCAGGCGCTCAATGCAGGAGCTGCCCCCTGGTGGTCAGTGCACTCTCACAGCCAACCTCCCATGGACCCTCCCCCGGCCGGCCAGATCAGTCCCGATTGGGACTGGGTGAGACAGCCCAGATCAGCCGGGAGGGGCCCAGCCCGAGCACAAATTCATGCACCGGGCCTCTAGTGTGTATATATATGTGTGTGTGTATATATATATATATATATATACACACACACATATAAATAGTATATACACACACACATATATAAATAGTATATACACACACACACACATATAAATAGTATACACACACACACATAAATAGTATACACACACACATATATAAATAGTATACATACACACACATATATAAATAGTATACACACATATAAATAGTATACACACACATATATAAATAGTATACACACACATATAAATAGTATACACACACACACATATATAAATAGTATATACACACACACATATATAAATAGTATATACACACACATATAAATAGTATACACACACATATATAAATAGTATATACACACACACATATATAAATAGTATACACACACACATATATAAATAGTATATACACACACACACACACATATAAATAGTATACACACACACACATAAATAGTATACACACACACATATATAAATAGTATACATACACACACATATATAAATAGTATATACACACACACATATATAAATAGTATATACACACACACACACATATAAATAGTATACACACACACACATAAATAGTATACACACACACATATATAAATAGTATACATACACACACATATATAAATAGTATACACACATATAAATATTATACACACACATATATAAATAGTATACACACACATATAAATAGTATACACACACACATATATAAATAGTATATACACACACACATATATAAATAGTATACACACACACATATAAATAGTATACACACACATATATAAATAGTATATACACACACACATATATAAATAGTATACACACACACATATATAAATAGTATACATACACACACATATATAAATAGTATACACACACAAATAGTATACACACACATATATAAATAGTATACACACACATATATAAATAGTATATACACACACACACACATATAAATAGTATACACACACACATAAATAGTATACACACACACATATATAAATAGTATACATACACACACATATATAAATAGTATACACACATATAAATAGTATACACACACATATATAAATAGTATACACACACATATAAATAGTATACACACACACACATATAAATAGTATATACACACACACATATATAAATAGTATACACACACACATATAAATAGTATACACACACATATATAAATAGTATATACACACACACATATATAAATAGTATACACACACACATATATAAATAGTATACATACACACACATATATAAATAGTATACACACACAAATAGTATACACACACATATATAAATAGTATACACACACATATATAAATAGTATATACACACACACACATAAATAGTATATATATATACACACACACACATAAATAGTATATATATATACACACACACACATAAATAGTATATATATATACACACACACATAAATAGTATATATACATACACACACACACATAAATAGTATATATATATACACACACATAAATAGTATACACACACACACACACACGTAAATACAAAGCAGTCCAAACGGCATGGAAATGATATGGAAACAGACCCATCAACTACTGGAACAGAACAGGGGGCCCAGACACATCTGCACACGTATGATGATTGCTCTCCGGTGCCCGCTGGGAACCCACACGCCTCCCCTGAGTTTCACATCAGCAGGAACACCACCAGCGTGGTCTACAGGAAGCACCCCACGAAGGCTATTGGCCCACACACTGCACCAGTGCTCAGCTGCGGACACGTGCTGCCTTTTCACGGGGGATCAGTGAGGACCCGTTCATGGGGGGGGGGGGGGGGGGCTCAGTATGGACCCACGAGCCAGAGAATTCCTCGCAGAACCATTGGACACCACTGGAGGCTGCCCCGCTTGGGACCAGGGACTTTTCCCTTCTTTGAACCTGAACGTCCGTCGTTGCTATTGGACGCCTGTCCCACCAGGATGTGTTGGGAGCAGGGAACTGGTTTCTTTGGTTCCCCGGCTCCGCAGAGAGGACTGGTACCCGGGGGTAGATCAGGACCCAAGCCCCACACACGCGACCCGGTGCGGAGTTAGGACAGCCATGCCCAGAGGTGCCCCTCTCACCGGGGGCTCAGCGCTGGACCAGGATGTGCGTGGCTTTCTGTGAGTTCCTGTTGGCGTTTACTGAGCTTCCAACACTGTACGTTCTACTTTTGATCAAATTCGGAAGCCTTTTGGCTTCTCACATATATATATGTATTTTTAAAGGTAAGATTTCCTTCTTTTTAAAAATATACTTCTAAAATGTTTTTATTGATTTTTAGAGAGAGGAAGGGAGAGGGATAGAGTGATAAAAAAACAATTTGAAACATCAAGGATGAGAATCATGGATCAGCTGCCTCCTGCACACCCCACACTGGGGATCGAGCCCACACCTGGGCAGGTGCCCTGACCGGGAATTGAACCCTGACCTCCTGGTTCATAGGTCGACGCTCAACCCCTGAGCCCCGCCGGCCGGGCTGGCTGCCAATATTTTGTCCGGCCCATTCTCTCTGCCCAGACTCCGTACCTGGCTAGACTGCCCCCTGGGTCACGGAGACTCTCTCCTCCTTCCCCTGGGCTTCAGGCGGTGAGTCTATTGGTCTATTTAGCACGTTCTTTGTTAGGAAGTCAGGCATGTATGTATGAGGTGCGCGCGTCACGGCCGTGACCCTTTTTCTGCGTCACTGCTGCTTGCTCGTGTGAGTAAAGAACAAAATGTCACGGAAGGAAGACACGGTCTACACAGAAGTGGCACCTGAGGCTCAAGTTTATTGGGCGGTCAGTCGCGAGTCACACACCGGACACCAGGAGGACACGGTACCCGCTCCACAGACTCAGAGCAAGTTGGCAACGACAAGGGTAAAACACGCGCGTTTTATGCCTCGCCCGTGGGCTGCTCACGGGAAGCGAACTAAGAAAGCCTGTTACCCAGGCAGCAAACCGCTCTGACGTCCGCAGCTTCCCAATCGCGTCAGGAGATTCCAAAGCGTTTCAGACCCAAGGCGGGAGCCCTGTCCAGCCGGAAGGAACATGCAGAAGGGACGGACCCGAGCGACTTCCTCTGTGTGCCCCCAGCAGACTCACGCCTCCTGCTCACCAAGCATCAATCCATCGCCATCAGCTCAGGGTCAGCGAGCGACGGATGCCGGAGACTGTCTGGGCCTGGTTACTCGTTATGTTGCACTTGGGGACAACGGCAACAGGACGCCAGGCTCGTACCTCTCCCGGAAGCTCATTCTGTACCAGAAGTGGCAGTGAAAGGCAAGCAGGTCCCATCCTCACTGCATCCGCCTCCCAGCCAGCGAGAGGGTGACGCTCCAGAACACAGGACTACGCCATTTCTTCACCATGTTTGATCCTAATTCCATCTTCAGATTTTATTTTTTTCTTATTTATCAAACTCCCACCTGCATGAGCTCCCCAGCAGCACAGCAGGTGGCACTGAGTCAGGGCCCAGGTGGCCGAGCGACCGGTCCTCACCGTGCCGGGCGCCTCCCTCTGCCACAGGAGCGCCCGCCGCCTCCCGAGGTGTTGGCCTGATAACCCAGCCGGCCTGGGACACCCTGTGCTTTCGCCACACAGACCCTTCCCTGAGGGCATGGCTCGCTGTTAGAACCGTCCGCAGCCTCTTAAGCAGCCAGCAGAGTCTCTTTTCTTAATATGTAAATTTCCTTCTTATAGAAAAGTATTAATGAGAATTTACCATGAAAAAGGAGTTTCATAACGCAGGTATCATTGTGACACTCCCTTTTTGATTGTTTTGCACGTCAGAATTAAGAACTCAACCAGAATGATCATAATAATCGCGAGAGAAAGGTAAAGGGAAGACAAGGAACGAATGTCTCATGCAAATGTTTTTTAAAATATTAATTCTCAAATAAATGCCTATGTAAGAAATCAACGACAGTATCAATATCTCCCAACCACAAATGCTTTAAGTATTATGTACCTCACTCATGTGTTTTCTTAAAACTGAGTCAGATTACAAGAACCGTCTACTCAAACTGGATTTTAATTCTCAATAAATAACACAATAGTAATTAAAATAGTTGAAAATTAAAATAGTTTTCATAGGGTTTTGTTTTTTTACATTTTAACCAGATATATTGACAGGCTACTTTCAGGTACAGAGAATCCAGACATTTTCCTCCACGAGTAGGCTCTCACATTAGGCTTCTACCATATTTTTTAGAGATGTAAATTTTCATTTTTAAAGAAAATCCTACTGCCTAAGACCACAGGCATAAAGGCAATCTGAAACATCGCGTGAAGTTCCGATGGGGCGCCCTTCGATCTCCGATACCAGACTGGACCTCGGACAGAGGCCGCACCAGGGACAGACTGTGCGAAAGGAAACACAAACTGCTTGGAAAGAGTGAATCTCTCCCCAACACGTCACTTCAGGAATGACTGTCGGTGTGCAGGGGGGGTGGGGGGGGGAATGGGTCACGTCGTTATAGAGCGACAGCGACTGCCTGGGGGCGGGCCCGAGGATAAACATGGTTTTTTCTTTAAAAGAAATAAATTTATTGGCAGTAGAAGTCCTAACTGCATGTGAGTAAGCTCTCTTAAGCTACTAATAAAATCCATCCTACCAAATCTGCTCACTGTTAAATCACTGACGAAAACTGCGGGGTCCTGCCGATGTTGGGTCGTGTGTGACTCACCCACGTGCCTCTCGCGTATGGCTGCGTGGGGAATTAGCACGCGAGTCACGGCAGGATAAATCCCAGTTGTCTTTAAAACAGAAAGACATTCAATGATTTAAGGGAAACACTTGTCATTGCCTAATGAAGACAGTAGTTAAAAAGCGACGGAACCCTCAACCTCTAACGCATAACATGATGTAATTGCACAAAAACAGTGATGAGAGTCATCGCAGCCCGGCTGAGGGGCTGTGAGTGAGTCACACAGGCCTCCAGCAAACGCATCGCCTGCAGGCACAGCACACTCCGTGCAGCTTTTATAAAAAACTCCTAGAAAAGTAATTCATGGTAATAACCCTAAGAAAGTTGTAAAATCTTCCCAGTAACTGGAATTGCTTATAAAAGTACCTTTAAAAAATTATTTGAGAGCTGAGACTGGCTTTGCACGTTACACCTCGCTCAGAACGAGGTAACGCCAGGTACGCAGCCTCGCACCACTGATGCTCGAGACTTCCGACGCCGGGCACTTCCCGTGCGGCCGAGGCTGGTGCCGGTTCCTGAGGTGTCAAGACTCCTCGCTGGCCTTGACGTTCTTCAGTAACAGTTTGGGGAACAAAAGGAAAAGTACCTAGACTAGACAGGAGGAAAATAAATGAACCCCAACTGAACACTGGATCTAATCTAAGAACGTGCTATTGATAAGCAACTCTATTGACGAACTACAAACATGGTTTTTAAATTAAAATGCCTCTTTTTTTGTATAGTAAGTGGCCAGACCAATTCAATGAAATAAATGATTTCCAACTCCATATAGATGTAAGCAGCACGATGCTCAGCTGAAATCAAGCTGCTACACACGGGTGTTTGTGATGAAAGGACTAACTTTAGCACAGGTCGACTTAGAGGATGGGAAATGCAGCGTACACGTAAATAGTCAAAATGCAATAAGGCGGACCGTGGATTAGATATAAATAAAGATTTAACAACACGTACCCGAATTTCATAGTCAGTCAAAATACTCTCCCTATCTATTCCAGGAAAACATTCTGATGTGGTAATAAATGTAGAAATATTAAAATCCAAGTTCCCAGAGCTGTAACGTCTTTAGTCACTGAAAAGGCGCCTGTAGTGTGATGTGTATTAACATTGAGTCCCTGTGCAAACGATGCGGGTGCGAAGGTCCAAGGAGGAATCGCTTTAGAACAACAACAACAGGTTTCGTTAAATCCAGAGCACAAGCCAGAAACGTCACTGCGGGAGGGGGTACCGTGTCACAGAAAGTGTGATCCACTGACAACTGGCCTATGTACATGGATGAGCTGTCCCGGGAACCGCGTCTCAAGCACCAGACGCACGTCAGTGGGTGTGCGTTCAAGGTGCGTCTGATTGTTGGTGGCGGGCAGCCTGACGGTTATCGCCCTCGTGCCGTGGCCGACGCCCCCGGCAGCAGCGGTGACTCAGTCCCCGCGAAGGGAACCGGGATCGGGGCCCTGGTGCCCTCCGGGGCCGGGGGCAGCGCAGCTCGAGCCGCCCGGTTAGGTCTCCGAGTTCCCTTCGCCGTTCTCTCGCGGCTGGAGCTGCTCCCTCTCGGGCTCTTCCTGAGGCGGCCGCACGCGCTTGAAGAAGCCCATCTGCCGGGCGAAGAGACACGGCCGTTACTGCCGTAGGTGGAGGCCGTTCAAGGATCCACGTGCCTGCGTCACCCCCAAGGAGCCTCCCCCTTCACATCATCTGGGGTGTGCATCGCCCATCGTCATCATCCAAGACCCATCCTCCTTCCCTTCCTCCTTCCCTCTTCCTCCTCCTCCTCCTCCCCTTCCCCCCTCCCCCCCCCCGCCCCTCCCTACGTCCATTCCTCACCCGGTGCATCACAAACACCAGGACCGCCAGCAGCAGCAGCCCTGCCAGGACCGCTAAGATGATCACCCACACGGGGACAGGCATGGGCGCCGGCTGGATGCCCCAGGTGACGTCCGTGGCGACCTGTCAGGGAAAGAAGGTTTTGGGTCTTAAAAACAGCGCAGCTACCGGATGCCTGCTCTGTTTTAACGGTGTTCACATTCTTTCCTTTTCCTGTGTCTGAGGAGTTACGATTGAACATCTGGCATCGACAGCAGACACTCACACACACACACACACACAACTCCCAACAGCAGGGCAACTTCCGGTCGCCTCTGAAGTGGTTTTCAGACAACCCGGTCCAGTCGATGGTGTGTTGGTCCAACTTTCAATCCTCCGATCAAAGACCTTTAAAATGCCTTCACTCCTTGTAGTTAACGTCCCACTTTCTAACGCGAAGGGGAAAAACTGCCAAGAACTTCCCCCATGAGATTCAGGAAATGCTAAGACTCTTATACAGGACAAGATGCTGAAGAGAAAGGCCTACCTTTAACAGGTATGGGGCGAGGGAGTAAATTATTAAACTAGTTTATAATCCTATCGAATGACTCTTAGTTACTTTAAATCAGCGGTTCTCAACCTGTGGGTCCCGACCACTTTGGGAGTCCAACGACCCTTTCACAGGGGTCGCCTAAGACCATCGGAAAACACGTATATAATTACATATTGTTTTTGTGATGAATCACTAGGCTTTCATGATGTTCAATGTGTAACAATGAAAATACATCCTGCAGATCAGATATTTACATGACGATTCCTAACAGTAGCAAAAGTACAGTTATGAAGTAGCCACGAAAATAATGTTATGGTTGGGGGTCACCACAGCATGAGGAACTGGATTAAGGGGGCGCGGCCTTGGGAAGGTTGAGAACCACTACTTTAAATCATCAAAACAGCCAAACGGCCGTTATCTAAGTAAACGCAACATCCAGGGCAGGAAGCCGCGCATCTGCCCCGCTGGCCGCCGGCGACGTACGAGGGTGGAGTTGGAGATGTCGTCGATGGGGAGGTTCTTGTAGGGGAACTCGATGACGCTGAAGGACGCCGACGACGTCAGGGAGTAGGAGCGGTTCTGGTTTTCCTTCTGCGGGAGGGACATGCGTGTGAGGCGTGTTCATGCCCTGCGGAGCTCGCAGGCGTGTGCGGGGGCTGCGCCTGCGCACTCACGTTCATGAAGGTCTGGGTCCACAGCAGCGACCGCACGTACAGGATGGCGCTCTTCCCGCGGTCCAGGCGCCCCACCTGGCAGACGATCTTCAGGCACTCGGCCACCCCGCAGCCCTGCCAACGAGACACGGCTCACAGGACAGGTCGCTGTCCCCACCACAGCCTTTTAAAAATATATTTTTATTGATGTCAGAGGAGGGGAGAGGGAGAGAGAAACATCAATGGTGAGAGAATCCTTGATCGGCTGCCTCCTGCACGCCCTCCACTGGGGATGGAGCCTGCAACGCGGGCCTGTGCCCTTGACCTGGAATTGAACCGGGACCTCCTGGTTCATAGGTCAACTCTCAACCATGGAGACACGCCGGCCGGGCATGCAGAACCGTTCAATTTCAAAATTTATTCTTATATACTATTTTTGCTGAGATCTCTGGGATTTTCCTGCAGTTTTGCAGGAAAGCCTCAAAGATCAGGGCGAGACGAAGAAAATGGGCCAGTTACCGGAGAACAGAACAAGCACGTGGGAACAGCGTGTCTGCCACGGGCGAACCACAGCGACGGGCCTTCGCGAGACAGGAGTAGGGAGGGAGGACCGAGTGGCACGGACCACGTGCAGCTCTCCGAGCACAGCTGCCGCCGCCTCTGACATGCTCTGCGGGTCGGTCCCAGAACCGCGCGTGTCATGCCTGAGGGCTCGCCGCGGAGCCGCACTCACCAGCGTGTGGACGCCCCCGTCGCTCTGGGCCAGGTCCCGCCTGGTGACCAGGTGGCTGCGCTCGCCCTGCCCGGGGACGCTGTCGTTCTCCGCCGGCTGCGAACTGGAGACCTGGGGTCACAGAACAAAGTGACGCGTCATCACGGACACGGCTCACGCCCATCGTCGCACAGGCTGCCAGAGGCCATTTAAACGGGGCCGAACCGGGGCGGACGGGCAACCCACTCCTACACACACACACACACACACACACACACACACACACACACACACACGGCGGAGACACAGGAAGTGAGGGTCCGCCCTGAACGTGTCAGGGAAGGTCGCCTGGGCCTGGCCACGACCCTCCTCCCCTCGCAGCCTCCCGGGGAACCTGACAACCCCCCGGAGGAGCCTGCACGTTACAGGGCGCCGTGTGTGTGCTGGGCGGGAGGGGGCGGTCCCCACGTCCACAGACCCCACGAAACGCCACGCTTCTAGGCCCCCAAGTCCCGAGAACCAGCCGTGAAACGGGGCACCTTCTCCCCAAAGACAAAATGACAACAACAGAGCACCCTTGACACGGTAACGTCTGGGGACAAATCACAGCGCAATGGGACCAAAGTCAGATCAGGTCACTTCATGCCTCCTGAGCCCGGCTGGTGTGGCTCAGTGGTTGAGCAACAACCTATGAACCAGGAGGTCACAGTTCGATTCCAGGTCAGGGCACAGGCCCGGGTTGTGAGCTCCATCCCCCGTGTGGGGCGTGCAAGAGGCGGCCGATCAGTGAGGATTCTCTCTATCCTTCTCGCTTCCTCTCTCTCCACAGTTCACATGTAAAAGGATCCCTCCACAGGTCACTGAGCACCCCCTAGACATGGCGCCCCCGGACTTCAGAGAGTCATTATACACACAATCAATTGCACCCCCGGCCGCCTGGCTGTGAGCTAAAACGGTCTGCGGAACGGGCTGCGAGGAAACGGCCGTTTCGTTCCGTGCATTTCTCGGGTCGGTTCGGGAAAAAGCGAGGGAACCTGCCCGCGATGAGCCGCCGCGGGGGCCTACCTTGATCCTCAGGGGGTTGATCTCGGTGTCGGCCGTGCAGTTCATGGGCCCGTCCACGTCGTACTGGAGGATGTAGAGCAGCGTGCTGTTGTGGTACTTGTGGGGCCACTGGAGGGTCAGCATGGCCTTGCTGAAGGAGCTGGGGCCGTTGTTCCTCAGCTACGGGGGCGGGAAACCGTCAGCCTCGTCCGGCCACGCTCCATCCCACAGCCCCCGCCCTCCCGCAGGAGCCTTAGCAACAGGAGCGGAAGCAGAGCGTCTCCATGGTTACGCTCACATCACCACACGACTGTTACTACGCAAAGGAGATCAAACCCGGGATCTGCTCAGGGGGAGGTCGGGATAAAAACATAGCAGAGAGGAAGATCTGGGCAAGGTTCTGGTGAAGATGGCACAGGAAATGCTCCTCCCGCAGAAGCCAGATCTGCTCTCGGCGTTTCCCATGTGGAGTCGGACCTGGCCATGTCCCTGTGAACATACTCGGCCGCCTGTGGCTTCCACTCAGGTGGCACTAAGGGGCTTGAGACAACCACGTGTGCTGACTGCGTTCGGTAGCCACTGACGCCACTTGTCTCATGAAAATGAGCTTGGGGACAATTCACACAGCCCTGGTGCAGTCACACCCGCGTGGTTTCCGTAAAACTCAGACGCGTCTTTCCAGCAGCAGCCGTCCCCTCCGTGCGGCCCCGCCCGGGCCCCCCGAGGCCCACCCCGCGCACCTCGTAGATGTGCTGAATCACGGGCCCCACGTCCTCCTCGGTCTCGGGGTGCTCCTTGTGCTCCCAGTTGGGGATCGGGAGGAAGACATGGTCAGGACTCGAGACCCTAAACAACCAGAGAAAACCCACCATGATCATCCAAGTGACATCGGTTCGTTCTGAGAGCGCCCTGCGCCCAGACGAAGAAAAGCAGACCTCACCGTTACAAAAGCGCTGCCTGTTTAAGGGAAGAACCACCGTGTGCACTCCTGCCTACGACGCTAACGCGACAGGCGAACGGGTGCCAAGCTGCGTGAGAGCTCAGGGCACTCACGCTGTGCCCGCTGTCGCCTGGGGGTTATTTCAGATGACACGCAAACGAACGTTTGGAGCAGCACCTAGGTCAGCGATGGCGAACCTTTTGAGCTTGGCGTGCCAGCATTTTGAAAAACCCTAACTTAACTCTGGTGCCGTGTCACATAGAGAAATTTTTTGATCTTTGCAACCATAGTAAAACAAAGACTTATATTTTTTATATTTATTTTATATATTTAAGTGCCATTTAACAAAGAAAAATCAACCAAAAAAATGAGTCTGCGTGTCACCTCTGGCACGCGTGTCATAGGTTCGCCATCACTGGCCTAGACCCTTCTCTCCCCGGAGCTGCAGCTCACAGGCCAGCAGCAAGCGGAGCGCCTGCCACCCCAGAGCAGCGAGGGGCCGAGGCTTTACTTCTAAAAAGTAACCGCCGCCCTGGCCCATGTGGGCGAGTGGTTAGCATGTCGGCCTGCGCCCCGGAGGTCGGAGGTCGTGGGTGTGATTCCGGTCAAGGGCATGCACCTGGCTTGCAGGCTGGATCCCTGGCCCCAGGTGAGGTGCGTGCGGGAGGCAACCATTGCCGTGTCTCCCTCACATCAATGTTTCTCTCTCTGTCTCTCCCGCTCCCCTCCCTTCGACTCTCTCTAAAACTCAGGGAAAACGTCCCCAGGGGAAGATGAACAAACTCCTTTGTAAAGGAGCTTAAGTCGTGAGAACGCCGGACACTGCTGGGTGCCCACACTGACCCTCTGATCTCCACGGCAGCGAGGACAGCAAGGTCGACTCTGTAGGACACCACCGGGCTGACTTCATCGAAGAGGTTGGAGCTGGAAGAGAAAAGACGCCAGAGGACCAAGCTGAGCATCACCCTCACTCAAACGAGCAAACGGAAAGCAACAAAGAGATGAAAACATACAAATCAATGATATGCATTAGCGTTTAATTCCAAGTTTTACTTAACTTCTTGTCGTATAAACTCAAAACTGACGGTCATTCTTACGATATAAACAATGACTTTAAAAGGGTATAATCACGTAATGAAGTTTTAGTCTATTCTATTGCATATTAAATTATATTATACTAGAGGCCCGGTGCACAAAAATTTGTGCACTCGGGGGGGACGGGGATCCCTCAGCACGGCCTGTGCCCTCTCGAAGTCTGGGACCTCTCGGGAGATAACGCCCTGCTGGCTTAGGCCTGCTCCCGGGTGGCAGAGGGCAGGCCCAATCCCTAGGTGCAGCCCCTGGTCGGGCTCAGAGCAGGGCCGATTGGGGAGTTGGGGCGCCGCCCCGTCATGCACAGAGCAGGGCGGATTGGGAGGTTGCGATGCCACCCTCAGTCACGCTCAGGGTAGGGCCGATTGGGGGGTTGGGGCACCGCCCTGTGTCACACTCAAGGCAGGGTCGATGGGGAGGTTTGCGGTACCACCCCCTGTCACGCACAGAACAGGGACCATCAAGGGGTTGGGGAGCTCCCCATCATGCACAGAGCAGGGCGGATGAGGGGGTTGGGGCGCCACCCTCTATCACTCACAAAGCAGGGCCAATTGGGGTTGGGGCGCCGCCACTGTCACACTCAGGGCAGGGCCGATGGGGAGGTTATGGCTCTACCCCATCACACACAGAGCAGGGCCCGTGGGGTGGGGGGGTTGGGGCACCGCACCGTCACACACAGAGCTGCAGGGCGATCAGGGGGTTGGGGAGCTCCCCCGTATCAGGCACAGAGCAGGGCCGATAGGGAGGTTGTGGCCCCGCCCCCTGTCACACACAGAGCTGCAGGCTGATCAGGGGGTTTGGGCGCTGCCCCCTGTCATGCTGATCCCGGTGCCGGGAGGCCTCGCGGCTCCGCTGATCCCGGTGCTGGGAGGCATATTACCCTTTTACTATATAGGATAGAGGCCTGGTGCACGGGTGGGGGCTGGCTGGTTTGCCCTGAAGGGTGTCCTGGATCAGGGTGGGGGTCCCCACTGGGGTGCCTGGCCAGCCTGGGTGAGGGGATGATGGCTGTTTGCAGCTGGTCACACACCCTTCAGGGTGGGGGTCCCCACTGGGGTGCCTGGCCAGTCTGGGTGAGGGGCTGAGGGCTGTTTTCAGGCTGGGACTGAAGCTCCCAACCGCTCCTTTTTTCTTTTTTCTTTTTTTATTCTGGGCCAGCTTTAGCCTGGCTCCAGCTCTGAGGCCTCTGCTGCTGAAAGCAGGTATCTAGTTTGTTTAGGTTCTGTAATCGAAACAATGTATAACTCCAGCTCTGAGATCCCGGCTAGCTGAACACAGGTTTCTGGGGTTTTGTTTATCTTCTATATTTGTTACAATGTTCAAACTGCAGGCTCAGAGGCCGGCAAGGCAGGCGGGGAACGTTGGAGTCCTCCGTCACTGAAGCAAGCAAGCCGCATGTTCAGTTTAAGCTGCCTGGCTGCCGGCCGCCATCTTGGCTGGCAGTTAATTTGCATATCGCCTGATTAGCCAATGGGAAGGGTAGCGGTCGTATGCTAATTACCATTTTTCTCTTTTATTAGATAGGATACCATTTTTAACAGATATTTCCTCAACAGTTATAAATTGGAAAGGTGGTTCTTAGTCACCCCAATAAATCCAATTAGAAAAGCAGAAAGGCCGTGCCATACCTTCGGATTTGTAAGTCAAACTTCACGGACGTGTCCATCTCCGACTGCTGGTGCACACTGAACCGGAGGCCGGCGAGGAGCTGACGGGAGGGGAGGGAGATGTCAGAAAATCAGGTCTGATTAGTGCACGTCCACGACCAATAAAAAGAACGTCCTAACCAGTTTTCTGCGCTCGCAAGAACCTGGAGGTGTCTCAACAGACTCATTACAGTCGATCTTCTAGCAAAGCTCTTCCAGGACCCCTGGGCCAACCCATGATGGGGTCTATGGTAAGTCCACCTCCTTGTAATACTCATCGTCTTCCAAAAAAATGAAAAAGTGAACGTTTGTTCGTTCAATGGAACGAAACAACTCCGCACAGAGATGTGTCTGCAGGAAGCGAACCCTGAGCCTGTGTTAAGGGGCAGGAAGGACTGGACTCCGGAGACACGGGCAGCGCCAGCCCCGGCTCCCCGCCCCTCACAGCGCCCCACACCCAGCACCCGGCTCCTGCAGGTGGGACCGTTACAAGAGGAGAGGACGCCGGCTGTGGGTTCGTGTAAATGACACATAAACAGGCATTTCCCACTCTCAAAGCCCGGAGCTGGCCACCGGAAATAACCTGGCCTCGTCCGGACTGAACGAGCTGTGAGTGGAGAAGCTAGAGAGACTGAGAAACACGAAAAAAACAAAACCAAAGTACGTTCCACTTGTTAGCGAAACATTGTGTTAAATATACGTGCGCCCTGGCCGGTGGCTTGGTGGTTCGAGCACCTGCCAATCACTGGCCTCTAAGTCAAAACCCATTGAAAGGCACCATTTTGAAGTGTTTATTTAAGAAATTTACTGTAGACAAACCCACAGGGGAAAGAATGTGCTACTTTCCTTCGAAGGTAAACACTCCCACGTGATCAGAACGTCTCACCTGCGTCCCAGCCTTCATGGGGTTCCCCAGGTCACACACCACCTGGCGGGTCTGGTTTTCTGTCTTAAACGCACAGGAAAGTCTCGCCAGGGCCTTGGAGAGACAGAGAAAGGATTACAAGGAAAATAAATTAACGACAGAAAAAAGAAAGCAGAAGCCAGGAGAGTAAAACGTTCCTGGACAGTGTCATGCAGTCGGACGGTTACGTTCTTGCTGGACAAGGCAATACACCCCTCTGAGCAAGCAGGGGCGGGGCGGGCAGAAGCCAGGCGTGCACAGCTGCCACGTATGCACGAGGAGGCCCTTCTGGAAGGTCCTGGATGCAGACACGGAACCCCAGCAGCTGAGGGCCGGGGTCCGAGGGCCAGGCCGAGGCACTGTCTGCCCGACGGGTTCCAGGCCCTCAGAGGCCATGCCCACCGTGTCCTCAGAGCCCGATGAGGCAGCAGCTGGCAAGGGCATGGGGACAGGCAGGCTGGCTGGCCGTGCAGCCCGGGGGGGCGGCTGGGCTGGCACACACTGTGTGGGGAGCTCCCGGGCGGGCGGCATGAGACTGGGGGTCCCTGGATTCCGGAACAGGCCGTGCCTACCTCGCTGTTGCGGACGACGCCGATGAAGTCGGCCTGCGGGGGGAGGGCCACAATGAGCTCTGCCTCGTAGGCGCCTTCGCCCTGGTTCTGCGCCGTCACCATCAAGGTCAGGGGGTTGTCGTCCCCGACGTAGATCTTCTTCTGGTCTCTGCGGGGCAACACAGGCCCAGACCGTGAGACGGGCCGCGGGGGGCAGCAGAGCCGTCCACGGGACGGGAGACAGACACGCAGACGGCGGCACCGACACCCTCCCAGCGTCTCGGGGCGTTTACACGACCCCCAGCTCAACAGGAAACGGGGACCTGCACGCGGGCGCGGAGCCCACGCTCGTCTGAGCGAACAAGGCGATGGCGCCAGCATATCCCCGCCGCACACACCCATCACGGGCGTCACCTTACGTCTCCCTGTGCGCACTCGGTCTCTGATTTTAGGAGAAAACTGAATTGCTCATTTGCCACGATTCTCACAAAAACTCTGTGTGATTTATGTCTCGTGCACATGTGATGGGATTCCTTCAGTCGGGAGGAGGCCGATGGTGAAGGGCGGCCATGAGAGGGCACGGTGGCCTCTCACAGGACCCAGCGGGGGATGGGACCAGCCTGTCGCCCACACAGCAAGGAGAACCCAGCGCCTGCTGCTCCGAAGCTCAGCACCGACAGCCTGGCCGTCAGACAGTCACGCATCCCCCTCGGGTGTGACGAGTTCTCGCTCAGATGCACCGTCCCCGGGAGGAGGGGCTGGGCCCCGCCGCGTGCCCGTCCTGTGCGCGGTGTCACGGGCGGGCGGGCCTCACCTGTCCACGGAGACCTCCAGCTTGGGTTTGCAGATGTTGTCTTCGCCGCAGTCCAGGAGGATGTGAGCCTAGGAGAGAGGAGTGGTTATATCTCCTGTGCGGGAGCGCGGTGCGGGGCACGTCCTACTACACGTGGAGCGCGTGGGCACGCATGTGCACACATATATACGGGCACATGGATTCGTCCACTTCGCATGCTAACAGGGGTCGTGGCTACTTCCTTTTACACGGGCCAGTGAACGGTCAGGACTGGCAGGAAGGAAAGGCCTCAGGACATCAGACGACCAGGTGGGAGCTTTCCTTCCATCTCCAGTTGAGCTGCTAAGATTGTGGAATGAAGTGTCACATAGAAGAGAAAGCGACAGTCAAGAAATGAGGGTTCCGCCCGGCCGGCTGGGTGCGGTGACTGAGCATCAAACTATGGGCCAGGAGGTCACAGCTCGATTCCCATCAGGGCACAGGCCCGGGTTGCAGGCTCCATGCCCAGTAGGGGGCATGCAGGAGGCAGCCGATCATCATTTATGTTTCTATCTGCCTCCCTCCCCCTTCCTCTCTGACATCAATAAAAATGAAAAAAATAAATGAGGGCTCAGCAGCTGCTAGCTAAGGTGTGTGATCTTGGGCAAAATAAACTCCTTCTAGGGTTTCTCATTCCAGACTACGGTTCTGTCAACGCCATGGAAACGTGGCTGCGGGGTATAAAGGGAGGAGGGGACAGAGCGGCAGTTCAGAGAGCAAACCATGGGACCAGCCACGGAACCAGCCACGGGAACAGCCACGGAACCAGCCATGGGCACAGCACATGGGACGGCCACGTAGGGAGCTACCATGGGAACAGCCACTGGACACCAGGAGTCCAGCGTGTGTGGCCACGTGGAGAGGGCAGAAACCATCCTAGACACACACATATTCTAAGTACTCACGTGCAAAGTAAAACGTAAACTACATTGTTAAAATATACAAATCACGGAAGACTTTGGATTTTAATACAAAAGTACATTAGAATATATTTTAATTTGCCTTACACGTCTACCATGTATAGTTTTATCAAACCACACACAAAGGAGTATTTGAGCCCGGCCAGTGTGGCTCAGTGGTTTAGCGTTGACCCACGAACCAGGAAGTCACTGTTCGATTCCTGGTCTGGGCACATGCCCAGGTTATGGGCTCGATCCCCAATGTGGGGCGTGCAGGAGGCAGCCGATCCATGATTCTCTCTCATCATGGATGTTTCTATCTCTTTCTCCCTCTCCCTTCCTCTCTGATGTCAATAAACACATATTTTTTAAAAAAAGAGTATTTGAGATGTTAGAGTGTTAGACAAAAAAGAAATAACAACCAAAATGCAGGGTAAAGAATCCTGTAAAAGAAGAAACGTTAACCTAAAAATATGAACATGTAATAAAAAAGAGGAAGAAATAGGAAATGCAATCATAATATCTTAATACATGGGTTTTACATAACACTTTCTAAGAATATTGTAATACAGCCCGTATGACATTTTATTGCTTTATTTGGTTTTATGAAAAGAAAGTACTGTACATATACACTGAGTGGCCAGATTATTATGACCACCCCATCATTACTTCGTTGGGCCACGATACCTAAGTATGTTGCTGATCGGGTTCATCCTATCATGTTGATGGCGTATCCCAATGGAGATGGCTTCTTCCAACAAGACAATGCGCCATGCCACGGTGCTCATATTGTGCAGGAGTGGTTTCAAGAACATGAGGGAGACTTTACCTTGCTTAGGTGGCCCCCACCATCACCAGATCTCAATCCAATTGAGCATTTGTGGGACGAAGTTAAAAGAGCCATCAGGCAGCTGGTTCCACAACCACCAAATCTCACAGGACTGGACAGTGCTATTCATCAGGCATGGTGTCAGATTCCTCGCATCGCCTTTCAACACCTCGTGGAGTCAGTGCCAAGAAGAATTGCCGCAGTATCGAAGGCAAAAGGTGGCCCAACGAAGTACTGATGGGGTGGTCATAATAATCTGGCCACTCAGTGTGTGTGTGTGTGTGTGTGTGTGTGTGTATGTATTTTTTTCAAATTAAATCAAAGATAAAACAGATATTAAACTTGTTCAGCAAAATATTAAAATACTGTGTAAATTGGCGTTTTGCTGTTTTCCTTGAATTATTTAACTTTCTATGTGACCCCAACGTTCTCTCCGTATCACCAAGTTCCAAGTGGCTTTCAATATCTCTAACTCGACGCCTCCCCCTTGTACTTCTCTGACTAAAATCCCAAGGTCACAAGAGCAACCCCTGTGGTAATTTAAAACACGAACGGCAAGCCGTGAAGAAGTGAGAGGCTGAGACTCGGGAGGAGCGAGGAGGCGCGTACCTGCCGGCTGAGGTTGGCGGGCGTGAACTGGTTGAGGATGGGCCGCAGGCCTGTGGCGTCGGCCGCCGTGCTGTAGTCCAGCCGGTACTCCATGAAAATGGTGATGGGCGTGAGCTTGTCTCTAAACTCAGACTCATCCTAGAAACGGAGAAGCTGCGCGTTAACGAGGACATCCAGCTACCGGAGAAACCCGTCAGCGCAGAACGCAAAGCCAGCTGTGACTCCTCTCCGCCCAACTCTGCCAGACCCTCCGTGAATGTAAACTTATCAAAGGTTATTATTCACTGAGAACACAATCAGTTTATGCATCGTAATGTCATTATTAGATTCGAAGCGTGTTAATAAAATGAGCACTCAATGACACGCCCACCCCGGCCTGTGCGGCTCAGTGGTTGAGCGTTGACCTACAAGCCAAGAAGTCACTGGTCTGGTTCCTGGGCAGGGCACACGCCGGGACTGTGGGCTTGATCCTCATGTGGGGCGTGCAGGAGGCAGCGGTCAGGGACGTCTCTATCTCATGGATTTCTCTCTCTCTCTCTCCCTCTCCCTTCCTCTCTCTAAAATAAATACTAATAAAAAACGTAGTTTTAAAAAATGCACGCCCAATATTATAACTGGAACGTTACTGCCATCGCTTCAGCTACCCACGTGGTCCTCTCTGGAGCGCCTCGCCCCTCTGCCTTCCTTCTGAGGGACCGCCGTCCTGAGCCCAAGCCCCATCCCCGCGCTGGCCTGCAGCCGTTTATAACGGGTACCGTCTCTGAACAGCACGTTCCCGGGTTTGCTTTCCTGTCTATTTAAGAATCAGATCGTGCATATTCTTTGATCTGCTTCCTTCGTTCAATGCCCTTGTTGGAATCTTCGGATCCGCAGCCAGACACCTTATCCATCGCACCACCGGCCCAGATCTCGTGGCCACAGCGCATGCGTCCACGTATCTGCGTCTTCTCCACTTTCTTCCTTTCGTGTCTTATCGTTTTCTGATACGGGTTTGCACATCCTTGGGTAAGGTTACTCCAAGGTCGCTGTGGGTTTCTTGGTGCCGTTGTAAGTGAGATTCTTCTCTTAGTTCCTCTTTCTGATGGTCTATTATTAACGCACAAAAAGGCAGCGGGTTTCTGGACACTTGTTTTGCATCCTGCTGCTTTAAGTGAATTCATTTGTCAGTTCTGCTAGTTTTTGGTGGAACCTTCAGGGCTTCTAAATTTTACGTTTATTTTAGAAAGAGAGGGAGAGGGAGAGAGATACAACATCCACGATGAGAATCACTGACTGCCTCCGCATGCCCCCCACTGGGGATCGTGCCCACAGCCTGGCAGGTACCCTGGTCGGGAATCGAACCAGCCCCTCTTGTGCACGGGCGGACGCCCAACCAGGAGCCACACTGGCTGGACCTGGACTTGTACGTCAGACCCCGTTCCGTTCATCTCTGCTCTGATCCCTACGATTTCCTGTCTCCTGCGCACTTGGGCTTTGATTGCTGTTCTTGTTCTAGTGTCTCTGAGTGTAAAGTTCGGTCGTTGACGTAAGTTCTCTTGCTTCTCGAGGGAGGCCTGTGACCCCACACTCCCTCTCGGGAGGGCGGGCCCTGCGTCCCACAGACCGTATTGTGGGGGGCTCTTGGGGGTACGCAGTCCACCAGGAGGAGGAGGCCGCTACTGGGGCCGGACATTTAAAGAGCCACACTTGCCCTGACCGGTCTGGCTCAGTGGATAGAGCGTCAGCCTGCGGACTGAAGGGTCCCAGGTTCGATTCTGGTCAAGGGCATGTACCTTGGTTGCGGGCACATCCCCAGTGGGGGGCGTGCAGGAGGCGGCTGATCGATGTTTCTCTCATCGATGTTTCTGACTCTCTATCCCTCCCCCTTCCTCTCTGTAAAAAAATCAATAAAATATATTTTAAAAAAATAATAATAATAAAAATAAAGAGCCGCACTCCCTCACGGGCATTTCCTGTGGACTTGAGCACGAACGTGTACCGAACGTGAAAAGCGCCGGACGAGAAGAAAAGCAACAGGAGAGGAGAAGAGACATGAGGAGAAGGGCCTCACCCGCAGGTACGCCACCAGCTCCTCGCACTGCATGCGGCCCCCCCGGGAGACGGTCATGTTCTTGGGGTGGCCCGGGGACCTGCTATGGAGAAACAGTGCTCGGCGAATTGCTCCCTTTTGCTTGAGTTTATCCAAAAGAAGCTCCACCTGAAAGTCTGCACAAACCAAAGGTTTAGAACCAACGCGGCCCCCGGACACCCGCCCGCACCCGCGGTTCACACAGACGCCCACTCCCGACGCCCTGGGGACGCTGTGCTCCCAGGGAGACCACCACCGACTCGTTCGGGATGAATGTGTCACAATTAATGGCAGCATTCACCCAGTTACCCCCAGGGGAAGGTCAGAGTGATCCAGGCTCCAGGTCCTGAGGCAGTAAAGCAGGTGGAGGGCCCCTCCCTTCCCCGTTAGAGCGACAAGCCTGAGGGGAACCCCGTGTAAATCACACGCAAATGACGCTCCCTGAGGGCAGGGGCAGGACTCCTGCTGAGGGCGGCGAAGAGGCACCCTTTCCACTAGACCAGCGGTTCTCAACCTGGGGGTCGCGACCCCTTTGGGGGCCCAACGACCCTTTCACAGGGGTCGCCTAAGACCATCGGAAAACACATATATAATTACAGATTGTTTTTGTGATTCATCACGATGCTTTCATTATGTTCAATGTGTAACAATGAAAATACATCCTGCAGATCAGATATTTACATGACGATTCCTAACAGTAGCAAAATGACAGTGATGAAGTAGCAACGAAAATAATTTTATGGTCGGGGGTCCCCACAACATGAGGAGCTGTGTTAAAGGGCCACGGCATGAGGAAGGTTGAGAACCGCTGCTCTAAGGCGGAGCCTGACCCGACAGCTGCGTGTGGCGGTGCTTCCAGACCCCGCTCGCCCTCTCGCGGGGAGCCTGTCCTCCACACTCCCGCCGGGGAGCTGACAGTTCGCACTAAACGTCTGTGTGGACTTCACAGGGGACACGTTTATGGACAAAAGTTTAGTGCAAACCATCAGCCCCCGGCGGGAGCGCGGAGGACAGGCTTTTGCGAGAGGGCGTGTGGGGTCAGGAGCACGGGCGACCCAGCTGTCAGGTCAGGCACCCCCTTAAGGCGACAGCGCGGCCGCGGGCCTGAAGCCGGAGTCAGGGCCGGTGCCGCTAAGGTCCGGCTCTCAGGAGCGTCTTCCCAGGACGGGGGGGTGCAGGCCTCTAACCACAGCATCTCCAGTTTCTCTGAAGGTTGAACTTCAGGTCCCATTGGGGTGAAAACCCAGGGGTTTTCCGCTTCCAGTTCTGCTCCATCCACCCCACTGCCCTCCGTGCGCTCACGCCAGGCACGCCCTTCCCGCGGCCCCGACATGCCGTCTCCTCTGGGGGCTTCCTCTTGCCCCCACCAGGGCCTGCCTCCCTTGCTCCCCATGAACGCCACGCACCACCACACACACCAGCACACACACCAGCACACGCACCACTGCACACACACCACCACATGCACCACTGCACACATACCACCACACGCACGAGCACACGCACCACCGCACACACCAGCACACGCACCACCGCACACACCAGCACATGCACCACCGCACACACCAGCACACGCACCACCGCATGCACCAGCACACGCACCAGCACCAGCACACGCACCACCGCACACACCACCGCACAGGTGCAGCCTCCGCCCGCTGTCGTGCCTCCCAGCACCGTCCCTACCAGATCGTGGCCACAGGACTTAACGCTCCCCCTGCTCTCAGGACGCAGAGCCACGTCTTGGGAGGGAAGAGCCACCTGGGAGCTGGCTGTGTGGTTACATGAGTGGCCCAGACCGTGTCTCCTGCTCTTTCTAAACCACCTCCAGGCCAGAGCCAGCGGGGGCTCCCCGAGGCCTATGGACGGAGGTCCCAGGAGACCCCTGGCTTACAGGCCACCAGGACCCCTGGCTTACGGGCCACCGGGACCCCTGGCTTACGGGACACCGGGACCCCTGGCTTATGGGACATCGGGACCCCTGGCTTACGGGCCATCGGGACCCCTGGCTTACGGGCCATCGGGACCCCTGGCTTACGGGCCATTGGCTCGTTCCCTCGCACAGGGACGCGCTGGGCCCGGTGAGGGTGGCGGGCACGTTCAGGGGCGACCCTTCGCTGCGTCAGCGAACAGGTGTGTCATTTCCCCACTGGGTAGGAGTTTCCACACAGAGTGATTGTGGACTAAACATTCAAATACGTAACAACGGCCCGAGTGACTCCCGCCCCCACAGTGTGAGCTGGTGCGCAGCGTCGGTAACTCACGTGATCCCCACGGACACGGACACGGACGCGGACACTTACTCAGTTTGGCGGGAAGCGCGCCTTTGCCATCCGCCCGCAGGCAGAACCTGACGTTGAAGCTGCAGGGAAACAAGAGCACACGCGTCGTCACGCAGGCTGACCATGCTCCGTGTCCTCACGCCTCACGCCCGCGGGGAGCTCGCCCAGCAAAGCGTCCTGTCTGTCTTCATCTTGTATTTAACAACGAAACGAGACAAACTTCCCTCCCTCAGCCTCCCTAGCGCAGGCTCCCCTCCTCCCTCGTCCCGATGAGGAAGAAAGGAAAGGATTCCCCGCTTCCCCCCGAGTCCCAGCTCCGGGGACACGTGGAAACGAGGGACAGAATCCGGACGTGACGTGACGCCGCGTCATCGAAGTCCCACCGACGCTCCCCGACGGGGCGCCCCCCTCGCTAGCGAGCCCGCGATCGCTCTCCCCGGCTCTTGGGAAAGAAAGTCATCCCAGCTCCCGTCACCCCCCCTGCTCTGAGTGCTCCGGCCCTGTGCCCGGAACCGGGTGTTCCCCCAAGTGGGGCTCTCGGGGTGACGTCACAGCATGTGGGTCCAGGCCTATCATGACTAAGTCATACTTATTCCGACGTGTAGGAGAAAGATACTGGTTTCTCCATTCTATCTTAAAATGTTTTCGACAAAACATGTCAGTTTAAAGAAAAAAATCTTCAGAAAATCACAAATACAGGTAGAATGAAAATATGCAAAATCATGCGCTATAGGGAAGAGTAGCATAAAAATATGGAGACTTGAGAAACCGCAAACCATAGAAGAATTCAGACATTAAATTTTAAAAAATATTTTTTTTATTTAAAAACTAGTAAAGGGACAATAGAAGACTGGTATATTAGAGCAAAATAATATTTTTCCATACAGCTACTCACAGATATTAAATCTGAAAAAGATCATACCGTTTAAAAATTAAAATGTTCATGGGTCTTTTTAAAAATTAAGTATGAATGAATTCTGAAATCTTATTAGCTTTTCCTTCTTTTTTAATATATTCATTGAGCATGCATCACTTAAAAAACTACACTAGCGTTGACCTATGAACCAGGAGGTCAGGGTTCGATTCCCGGTCAGGGCACAGGCCCGGGTTGCAGGCTCGATCCCCAGTGTGGGGCGTGCAGGAGGCAGCCGATCCATGATTCTCTCTCATCATTGATGTTTCTATCTCTCCCTCTCCCTTCGTCTCTCTAAAATCAAATACACACACACACACACACACACACACACATATAAACTTTCCACTAGTTTTTAACATACTCCTGGAGCTTCTGCATATCTTTCTGGAACAGTATTTCTATAATCCAATCTATGACATGATAAGAGAGCAGACAAATGAAATCTGTTTTCGCACTATTTCACTTCCCACCTTCATTTTCGATTGTTTTTATAATAACTGAACCACGTGCCCTAACCTGTGTGGCTCAGTGGATAGAGCATCGGCCTCTGGACGGAAGGGTCCCGGGTTCGATTCCGGTCAAGGGCATGTACCTTGGTTGCGGGCACATCCCCGGTACGGGGTGTGCAGGAGGCAGCTGATCGATGTTTCTCTCTCATCGATGTTTCTAACTCTCTATCCCTCTCCCTTCCTCTCTGTAAAAAAACCAATAAAATATATTTTATAAAAATAAAATAAAATAACTGAACCACTCATCAGAATAATAACTATAATAATCACAACATTCGGCTAATACTCTTACCAGGAAACTTTCAGATCTGTCCCAGGCAGCGAGCAGGTCTTATTGTCTTGGTTTAGAATGCTTGGGTAGACTTCAAGGCCAGCGCTGACTGTGATGACCGGTCTGGCTCTGGGGGGGGAGACAGAAAGGGGGAGAGAGAGAGAGAGAGAGAGAGAGAGAGAGAGAGAGGGAGAGAGATGGGAATGAGGAAAATGAAGGAGCTGTCTGCAATGTTGGGCTGACTGAGCATTTCGGGTTCACACTCACAGGGCAGTGAAAAGACAAGAAATAAACCTCAGAATGACCACTGTCCCCGTCGCCCGGGGCTGCCCTGATTCCAGCAGGACGTCCCGTGACCAGCAAATCCCTCGGGCCCAGGCTAAGCGGGACGACTGGCCAAACTCTCTGAACTCTGCCCACAAAAGCAGAACAGCGAAGCCAGCCGTGCGCCATGGACCTAACGCTGCGCTCACAGCGGAACGAGGGCCGTGCGCCATCCGTGCTTTTACGGGGGAGCTGAGATACACACCACAGGCACTGTCAGTGCGACACGGGAGAAAGCCACGGTGTGCAAAGGATGCACACACACACACACACACACACACACACACACACACAATCATTGTAACGCCTAGCATGTTTCTGAGTGTGCACACTAGTAAACTAATGACTAGTCTGAGAAGAGGCTTCTCCATTGTATGCCCTTTTTATATTATTGAATGTTTACCGCCTGCATGTATTACTTCATGAGCAGCCATTTTAAAAACTGAAATGGAGCCTGGCCGGCGTGGCTCAGGGGTTGAGCATCGACCTATGAACCGGGAGGTCACGGTTTGATTCCCGGTCAGGGCACAGGCCCGGGTTGTGGGCTCCATCTGCTGTAGGGGGCGTGCAGGAGGCAGCCGATCCATGATTCTCTCTCATCATCGATGTTTCCATCTCTCTCTCCCTCTCTCTCCCTCTCTGAAATCAATAAAAATATATTTTTAAAAACTTACAATAAATAAAATAAAAACTGAAAGAGGCACCGATTTAAACTCTGTCCGGAAACGCAGCCGCTCCGGCCTGCGCCGCCCCAACCCCCAGCCGAGGACATGCGTCTGGCGGACACGGGCCCGGGAGCCAGTCGCGCTCCTCCAGCCCCGGCCCAGCAGCTGCCGGAGCGTCCTGCCCGCGCCCGCGGCCATGGAAGGTGAGCACCTTCATCTCCTGGGAGGCGGCAGGACGGCCCAGGGCAGGAGGGACTGTGGGCACAGAGTAACTGGGAAGGTGCACGAAGCTGGGAGACACAGGCCTGGACGTCCACGCTGCTCTGAGCAACCGTGGTCCCGGGAGTCGCTGCACACGGCCTCCGTGCTCAGAATGTGACACACAAACACGAGTTAGTTTCTCGCCTCTCAGCGGAAAACGTCAACGCCTAGAATTTGGGGGACACTGAAAAGGTAGGAGACTCTCTAGACACGATTGCAAGAACGAAGAGGGAGACCCTACATGCTTTCGGAAATTAACGACGTCTACGCTTTCTCTACGTGGGGACCTCTCCTTCTACAGGCACCGCTTGCCTGCAGTAAATCTTAAAGAGAAAGAACAGGTTGTGCCGTCATTTCCAGAAAACTACGCTGAACTTAAAGCACTGGGACTTAACTATAAAACGTTCGATTAATTCAGAGCAGAAGCGGCGATGGGAAGGCGCTCACCTGTACAACACAGCTCTGTCCACACCAAAAGCTCCCACAATCAAGTCTTAAAAGAGAGCAGAAAAAATGTTAATAATAATGATAGTGATTCTTTAAAATTCACATACCATTCCATACAGCTTCCAATACAACGATCAGGTGTTAAACACAGTCTCAAATCTACCTCCATGAGGAGGCGGAAGACGACCTTTAGAAGTCTAGGATAGGAAAATTCGAAATGAGCTACTGCCGACGGCAAACGCTCCTCATACAACGAGTCTTCCGTTCGAGCGGACGGTCTTCCCATGGACACTTCGTAAAACCAGCAAAGTGGGGAGCAGAACCCCAAAACATGGACCACGAGGGAAGCCCTGTGGTGCCTGTGGATGCCGCTGTACAGGTATTTTTTCATTTTCTTTTTATTTTTTTAACCAAAACCAAAAAGCACATCGCATACGTTTAGAATACTTAGAACTGACAGCAGACAGCACTCACATCAACACAGACAGAAGGCATTCGTCTTCATATGTGAGAGGTGAAAAGGACTCACAATTAGGAAAAAAAATGCTCTCGCAGCTCTCTCTCACAGTATAAACAAGCTAGATTGGAGGAAGCCCTTTCCTGGCAAAAAAAAAAAAAAAAAAGTACGTGGGGGGAAAAAACACATAAAAACAGGCAGATTGTACTACAAAAAAATTAAGAACTTCTCTATGCCCAAAAAAGCAAATGTGAGAAGCTAAGAAGTATACGGGGGCAGGGAGAAGGAGGTGTACAGCTATGTGCATAGGAAGCACAGAGTTTATTCTTGTTCTATTATTTATTATTGTCATTATTTTCCACACGAACAGCTGTAAACCTATTTTTGTCTTAGTTGAGTTAATAGCCTAAAACATGCTATTTTAAGGCACCTGCCACAAGGTAAAAAAAAATGAATTAATGAAAGAAAAAATGCTCTCGCAGCTCTATCTCACAGTATAAACAAGCTAGATTGGAGGAAGCCCTTTCCTGGCCAAAAAAAAAAAAGTACGTGGGGGAAAAAAACACATAAAAACAGGCAGATTGTACTACAAAAAAATTAAGAACTTCTCAATCCCAATAAAACAGAGAAAAAAAGATGTAAAAAAAGAAATTCACAGAAGTAAATAGATGCAAATAAACAAAACGCTTACCCTCACTAGTAACCAAAAACTGAAAATTAAGACAAAAGGACAGTTTCCACCCGCCACATAAAGTTACTCTACAGGGAACGAAGATGACACTCGACATGGGAATGAATGTGAGAGGAGGACCCTCACTCACTGCTGGTAAGTGGTTTAAAAAGTGGCAAAACCTTCGTTTAGAGGGAGTGGGATTGTAGTTTGACAAGCGATCAACAAACTTAAAAAAAAAACAACGTGCTTATCTTTGACAAAACAATTTTAAAACTTTGTCTAATAATAAAAAAATAAAAAAATTTTAAAAATAAGGTGTATACACACCAGAATTATATACAATATAAATGCCCCAAAATAGGCAAATACGATACGATATAGTCATTTGATAAAATGAAAAATATAAAACTCATGCTTTTGAAGAAAAATTAGTGACATGGGAAAACATTTCTGATACTTTCAGTGAATAAAATATGCTATTAATAGTGCATAAAGCACAATTCTATTTTGTTCATAAATGTGTATGAATGCATTGGAAAAAAGATTGCAAAATACGTTCTGCTGTATTTGCTAAAAGTTCTATAAATATATTGCACTTATAACCAGAAAATCCTTGAACACAGACAGAGATAAGAATCAACTTCCTGTCGTATTTCTAAGAGCGCTTCAACAGACTTGCCCACTGAGCTCACAGTAACTGTCCCCAAAAAAAGGCAGTTACGTTTTCTGCACTATATTCGTTTAAGGAATAGACCCACGATAATCCCAGGTCTATATGAGCCAGAAAATAAAAATCTCACTTTCTCCACTGGCTCAAACCAGCGGGCATGTTGGGCCAACGCCCTTTCTGAGTCTCTCTTCTCATCCAGAAGAAGGTGATGAGCTGAAATAGCGCGCATTCTCCAGAGACTTACATGAAATAACGTATTTGTTAAAAACCACAATGATTAGTCAAATCCACGAAAATGTTAGATCATTGAAAACCAAAAAAGGCCCTGGCGGTGTGGCTCAGTGGACAGAGCGTCGGCCTGCGGACTGAAGGGTCCCGGGTTCGATTTCCGGTCAGGGCACAGGCCCGGGTTGTGGCTCAATCCCCCGTGTGGGGTGTGCAGGAGGCAGCCGATCCATGATTCTCTCTCACCGTTGATGTTTCCATCTCTCTCCCTCTCCCTTCCTCTCTGACCTCAATAAAAATACATTTTTTTAAAAAAGATGTCTAACGTTCAAAAACTCAAAAGGAGCGTTTTTCCGCTTGTGTGTAACTTCCCTGGATTTCCTTACAGACTTCAACGCAGGAAGCTCAGAGCCCGTGGTTTTGCTGGAAACGCCCGGGAAACAGAGCTGCCTTTCCTGCAATGCCCCCTGGGCAGTCAGAGCAGCACCACAACCACCGCGGGGCCCAACCAGCACGTGAGATCCTGGACTGAACTGACACACAGCACCACTCAGCACAGCACCCACTCAGCACAGCACCCACTCAGCACAGCATCCACTCAGCACAGCACCACTCAGCACAGCATCCACTCAGCACAGCACCACCCAGCACAGCATCCACCCAGCACAGCACCCACTCAGCACAGCATCCACCCAGCACAGCACCCACTCAGCATAGCATCACACAGCACAGCACCACTCAGCACAGCACCACACAACACAGCACCCACTCAGCACAGCACCCGCTCAGCACAGCACCCGCTCAGCACAGCACCCACTCAGCACAGCACCCACTCAGCACAGCACCCGCTCAGCACAGCACCTCTCAGCACAGGCCGTTTGCTCCGGGCCGAGCGCCTGCGCGCTCAGTGTGGCCGCACCTGGGTACCCGTTGCGGTCGATGTCCGTGGCTCCCTTCATGGCGTAGCCGAAGCTGGGCGGCATGCTCTGCGCGGCCCACCTCCCCTCCAGGGCCTGCGACGGCGCCGCGTTCAAGCCCGTGGATCTGCCGTTGAAAATGTAAACGATCCCTTTCCTATCTTCACCCCCGTAGGGAGCGGCGATGGCGATATCTGGGGGGGAAGGAAGGGGGGGCGGAGAGGGAGACGTGAGAGAGGGAGAGGAGGAGGGGGAGGAAGGAGGAAGGGAGGGGCGGGATGGAGAGAAGAGGGCTTAGCGTGTCCCGTTCAAAGGCAGCCTCGAACCCGAGGAGACTCAGCAGCACCGGGTGGAAGTGACACAAGTGGAGGAAGACGCTCTGGGTCTGACCCGCGACCAGTCAGCTAACCTTCCGGGGCCTCGAGCTCCTCGCCCTCCAGTGGACGGGGTGAGGGTCAGACCCCTCCCAGGCTGCCCTGGCTCCCACATCCAGCCAGCAGCTGCGCGTGGTTTGGTTTTTTTGTGTTTTTTTTTCCCCAAAAGCAAAAGTCAATGTGGCTTGGAAACTTGAAAATCAGAAATCCTTTTTGGTCTTGCTCAGCTTACACTGAACTAACATAAACCAATAAACGCCTGGAATTCTTAAAAAAAAAAAAAAAAACTAAAGCAAAACCCACCAAGTGGTCACTGTGACCCGTTCTAACTGAAATATTTTACAAACGCGCCCACTCCCGCTCCCTCTGCCGCTAGCCACACCCTCCCCACCCGCTGCCCGGGCCCCGGGAGAGACGTGTGAGTTTCCTTCTTCATGTTTAACTTTCTTTAGATATTAAGGGGCAGGTCCCTACTTGCTGTTGATGACACACACACTGACGGTTCAACTATGCAGGCCTCTCAGAAAGGGCTTTAACAGTGTCTTTTCTAAATCTTGGCCACGTGTAATCTATATTTCACCCCATCATAAAAGCCACCTACATTTTTTTAAAAATACCTGCAGCGATTGAGTAAGTGACTAAACGGGACTCTTCTAAACAGCGAGCTTGTTCCTCTGCCCTCGTGAAGGGAGCGAGAACCTCCCTCAGTCACAACGAAGTTGCAGCTTTAAAAATGTTCACACCAATCGCAGCTTTGCGTGTGTGACAGCTGCCCCGGTGCCTGGCGCTGAGTTTGCGCTTGTCCGCATGGTGGGCAGCAGGGGGCACTCCGGCTCACGGGCCAGGGCAGGGCTGGGGGCCGGGCCGTCCCTCTCCCAGGGGCACTGCCCCATCTGCTCTGCTGCACGAACAGCAGCGCGTGGGATCCGTTTTTGAAATGCTCGCTCCGGTTTCTATGGGAAGAGCACCTTCGCGCTGGACCTGGGTGTCTGTCACTCTCGCCCGCATCCGCCCCCGGAAGGAGGCTGTCACGGGGCAGAACTTCTCCAGCTGGACCCGGCACACGAGGCCCACAGCCGCCCGGCCTTACCGTTGAAGCCGTCCTGGTCCAGGTCTCCCAAGGGCGCGATGGCGCTGCCGAACCGCGCGAAGACCTCGAAGCCGTTGAGCTTGGTCGTCTGGAAGTCGCCCGAGGCCGTCTGCAGGGACACGGAGACCTGCCCCACCTCCTGCAGCTTCCCGTCCGAGCCGCGGTCCATGAACAGCGGGGCGCCCACGAACACGTCCGCGTAACTAGGGAACGGACCCGTTCGTGCGGATCCAGTCCGCCCATCACTCCCCCCCCCCCACCTCCCAGCCACACGGAGGCTCAGAACGACCATTCCAAAGCTGAAGGCCCCTCCAACTCGTCTAATAAAACCAGGAGCAATCCACACCATTACTTCTCTCCTTCATACGATCAAAGCTATTAAAAGGCATTATGAGGGCTGGCAGCGGAGGGGGAAGGCATCAGCTCATGAACTCGCATGTGTACCAGCATCACCCATGGACCCCGACAACAGGGGGATGAAGGCCTGGGGCGGGGGCGGGGGGCGGCTGGGAGAGGGCAGTGGGGGAAAACGGGGACATTGGTAATACTTCAACAATAAAATTTAAATAATAAAATAAATATAAAATAAGAGGGATGATGGAAAACATAGAGGCCGCCTAGCATTCCTGGTAAGGCTGCTTCAAACCGGTTCCCTGCTCAGCAGCCTCAGAGGAGCGGGACCGGGCAGAGAGGAAACGCTGAGTTTTAGGAAAGCGCTCGTCAGCGCGGACGAAAGCAGTTTCTGGAAACACCGTCTTTGACTTACTCGTCCCCATTGATGTCTGTGGCAGCGACAGCAAATCCGAAATACGCAGCCATCTGGGAAAGGAGACGAAAGGACAGGTTACCCCCTCCGGCCGGTCTGACACCGGCAGCCGTGGTCTCTGTGTCAAGGAGACGGGCGGTTCCTCCGCGCACAGTGCTTCAGCCTGAACGCCTCTGCTGTTTATCCACCCACACGGCAGCCTCAGGCACCGAGCGTGTTACTCTCCTGCATTCACGAGCAGAGCGTGTCCCGCGTGCATCATTTCAGTGACTTCGACACATACAGCCCGGCCGGCGTGGCTCAGTGGTGAGCGTCGACCTATGACCCAGGAGCTCACGGTTTGAGTCCCAGTCAGGGCACAGGCCCGGGTTTGGGCTCCGTCCCCAGTGTGGGGTGTGCAGGAGGCGGCCGATCCATGCTTCTCTCTCATCATGGATGCTTCTCTCTCTCCCTCTCCCTTCCTCTCTGAAATCAATAAAAATATTTAAAGTAATAATAATAGTAACACTGGGCATGGGAGCACAGGGCTGCCTAATGGTCCTAACGCAAAGCCGAGATTCCCCACAGAGCCGAGGAGGATCATGCCTGCACACAGGAGGATCATGTCTGCACACAGGAGGAGGAGCATGCCTGCACACAGGAGGATCATGCCTGCACACAGGAGGATCATGCCTGCACACAGGAGGAGCATGCCTGCACACAGGAGGAGGAGCATGCCCGCACACAGGAGGATCATGTCCTGCACACAGGAGGATCATGCCTACACACAGGAGAAGGAGCATGCCTGCACACAGGAGGATCACACACAGGAGGAGCTGCCTGAGGTGAGGAAGCCGTCCCAGCACAGAGGGACACCCCCCTGCACCCCAATGGCAGGCCATTCGCTCCCAGCTGAGCAGCAACCCTGACTGTCCCCCAATGGGAAGAGGCTGTGGGGACCGGGGTCCACTCCCTGTTGCTATCAACCCTCTCGCGAGGCCCAACCATCTCTGCTGAGCAGGACGTGGGCCTGAGCCGGGAGCTGAAAACCAGACAGCTGTTCCCCCGAGTGCTAACGCACTTTTCCCGTGTCGTTACCACCTCATGGAGTAAACCCGCACCCGGGACGTTTACAAAGCACAGAGCGTTCCTTAGGGGAGAGGTTAGCGACATCAGCAAAGAAAAAGGACGTTCCTGGTTTTGTGTGTGAGTGACCTGGTTCTGCATTTCCTTTTAAAAAAACTAGCACAACATGCAATTACAAAAGTGTTTGCCTAAACAAATTACTTTGATTAAAACAATATAAAATACCTAAAGCCCATTTTACATCTGTACTATTGAATACTGAACCAACATCTATTACATATTGAATATTAAGCCATTGGGATTCGCCAAGGAAACCTGTAAGACGTTAGGAATGCTGACATTAAGGTGCGAAGCGGGGGACGTTTCAGACGCGTACCTGCTCGCCAGTGAAGTTGTGCAAGGAGGACATGTTCTTCCCGTCATAAATATAAACCTGTGCGGGGACCAGAGTGTGAGGCACAGGGAAAGGTAAGATAGCCCAGAGATTTCTAAAAAATATTTGTTCACTTTCCTACCATTCCCAAAGTCCTCGCTGCTCTGGGAACTCCCGAGACAAAGTCTGAAAAGAAAAAACTCAATTACTCATTTTGAAGACCAACATTGGGAACTAATGGAGGAAGGGACATGTCAGAAAGCTCTAGGTTTTGTTATTTCAACGGACGATAAGTAAGAGATTTTTCAAAGAATCGGTTCTCCATAACCAGTGACCAGTGTGCTTTCAACCACAAAATCAAACACGTACAAAACAGACTCATGAGGACCCTCCAATAGGCGCCTGTGTGTAATCTGGAGGAAAAGAGCAGTGAGACAAAGTGGCCCAAGAATGAAGAGAAGCACTGGCCGGCGTGGCCCAGGGGCTGAGCGTCCACCTAGGATCCAGGGGGTCAGGGTTCGATTCCCGGTCAGGGCACAGGCCCAGGTTGCGGACTCGATCCCCGTGTGGGGCGTGCAGGAGGCAGCCGATCCATGATTCTCTCTCATCATTAATGTGTCTATCTCTCTCCCTCTCCTCGCCTCTCTGAAGTCAATAATATATTTAAGAAAAAGATAAGAAGGAAGAGAACCAGCAGAGCCAATGAAATAGGGCAGGGGCGGCAGTTACTCCGAAACGGGATCCGAATCAGGGCAAGTCAGCGGCCGCCAGGTGAGTTCTGAGGGGTGACGGGCGGACAGAGGGTGGGTGACCACCGTGCCCAGAGCCCAGGGGGAGGGTACCGATCAGCCTGAGGAAGGAGCAGCCACGCCCCTCCGTGGGGACCGCCTGCTGAGCAAGGAGGCGGAGCCCAGGAAACACAGTGGACGCTGGTCTCTGGAACGAACTTCACCCCAGAGGCTGAGCAGCGATTCCTTCAAAAACTGAGTCATTCTCCCATTAAATAATGTAAATTAAGGTAATCGTTCCAGACCCCACTGATTCCCTACGTCAGCCTTTCCTATGAACAGTCCCTGCCTGATGTGCTGTTCAATGTATAAACAAACACTCTTTTCTTAAATTCACAGACCCACCGCCTGCCAGCCTTAAAGCAGTTATTCCTGTCCCTGCCTCCCGAACGCTCCCCCAGGCTCATTGCTTTCTTTTGTCCAAACCAACAGGGTTTCCTAGCTCTCCAACTGCCCGTGGTTGCTGTTTTGTGAGCACAGTCACACCCTCGCAAGGCTGGCCCGGTGGAGGCCTCTCGTTTTAAAGGGGCGCCAATCCCAGCAGCGAGGCCCCCTCTCCTCGGCCGTCGCCTGCCAGGGGCTTGCAGTCCCGCTGAGGTGCCAGCCGGAAAGCGCTGTCGGGTCGAAAACTGGAGTTTTGGTCAACAACCGAGACATTTCTTTCTGGGAACAACTTGGTGGAGGACTGAATTGTTGGAGATGGGAGACGTTCAAGAAACAAGGTCTGCCCGTAACTGGGGGGCGGGGAAGGGGCTGCTGGGGGGAGACTGAGCCCCCCGCCCCCAGCACAGGCTCCATCGTCGCAGCCGTGGCTTGAGGACCTCGGACACGGCCAGCTCCTGTCCATGCACCAACCCCCCCCTCATTCCTGGGACAGTCCCTGAAACGGTGTCAGAGCCCGTCAGTGGCTGGACTTGCTCAACGCCGGCCCCCGTGTGTAAAAAAGGAAGAAACGCAGCTCAGGCCTTTCGTACCATCGATGCCGTCCCCGTTGAAATCGCCGACCGCCACCGAGTAACCTGCACCGGGGACAGAAGGTGGACAGCGTCAGGCGGGCACCGTCACCCTCGCCACTCAGCGCGCTCTCCTCCAACTGCAATTCCTCCAACTGCTATACTTCCTGCCCTGGGGTCAGAGTCGCACGTGCACAGGAGATGCACCTTAAAGTGCCTGAGCTAAATATTCGAAGAGTAAATATTCTATTAGAAAAACAAGGCTTTTACCAACGTCAGAGCTACTGAGAAACGGTAAATCTGCAATTCATCACCCAGTAGCAGACGTTCTCAGCCAGCAAAGCACTGTGTCTGTCGTGTGCACTGGGTTTAATGAGTCAGAGACATTGAAGAAGAGAACAAACGTTCAGAAACCCTAACGCCACAGCCGTCGTTTAATACAATAATTAATTCAGGCTCGGGGTCAGGCCGCCTGGTGTGACACTCAGAGCAGCAAGTTCTAAGTGAGGGGCTTCAGGCAAGTTGTTCGGCCTCTCGGGGCCCGAGTTTATTTTATGTAAAATGCGAACAATAACAGTGCACGTTACAGACTTCCTGTGGGGATTCAATGCGGAAACACTGAAAAGCACTTGGTGCCATAGCCAGTAGCATAACTTAAACGTTATCTGCTATTATCGTAGCATAAACCAGCGGTTCTCAACCTGTGGGTCACGACCCCTTTGGGGGTCCAACGACGCTTTCACAGGGGTCGCCTAAGACCATCGGAAAACACATATATAATTACATATTGTTTGTGTGATGAATCACTATGCTTTAATTATGTTCAATTTGTAACAATGAAAATACATCCTGCATATCAGATATTTACATGACGATTCATAACAGCAGCAACATTACAGTGATGAAGTAGCCATGACAATAATGTTATGGTTGGGGGTCAGCACAACATGAGGAGCTGTATGAAAGGGTCGCGGCATCAGGAAGGTTGAGAACCGCTGGCATAAACGCTCATGCTCTTAAATTCCAGTTACTGAAATGTAACGTAACCTGAGTATTCAGTAACAATTTGAAATTATACGCCCCTTACATTAAAAACAAACAAACACAAAGACCTTAATCTATTTCACATGAAAGGTTTTCCCACGTAAAGCAGCAACCGCAGGACAAGTCCACTCCGGTGTCGGCGTCACCTACCCAAGTAGCTGTCGTCAAACACGGCCTGCGCGGTCCGCGTTGCCAGCTGGTTGCTGTACTGGATGCTGTAAACCTTGGGGTCGTATTTAGAAACGATTTCTGCCACTTGGTCCGAGATGAGCTGGCCTGGAACACAGAGAAGTCGCTTTCGAGTGGGAACGTTAAGAGGCAGACGGTGGGGGCCCTGTACGAAGAAAGCAGCCTGGGAGTTATGACTTCGGATGATGAGCCGTGAATGCCTCTCCTTCACCACATTCAATCTGAGACTGGATTTTATTTTTAAGCCACAATTATTTCTGTTCAATCCAGTACACACTTAAAATTGGTCTCTGCTAATAAACAAAATTTTCTGAGTAGAGACTTTGTCTTAATTCCCTAAAAAAAAATCAATGTTAAGTAAATGGAATAAAATCAAGGGCTATTTTCCAACAAAATCTCTGAGAACTGGAAAAATGAACTGAAGTAATGAAATATCTTTTCCTTCACCGTAAGAATCACTGGGTCAACTGACTTTTCCCAGCGAATTATCTGAAGACCTTTAGGAAGCAGCCTGGTGGGCAAGCTCACTTTCCTTCTCAACCGGCAGTGACTTGGCAGACAAATTCAGACGACGTGAAACTCAGGCCGAAGCCGCCACTTCCGCGGCCTGAGAAAACCACCTCTGCCCTCTGCTGCTGCAGGAAGAAGCCGTAGCGGCCAAAGGCCGAGCCCTGTCCCTCTCCGTGCAGCCCAGGGCGGGAATGACCGGGAGAAACTGTCCGTCTGGGGCGCTCCTCACCCTCTGGGCCACCCGGGACCTGACACACGGGGGCCGGGGGGCCGTTCAGTGTCTCCCAAGCAAAGAACAGGAAAAGGCTCATCTCTTCGGCCGAAAGCGCCACCATCGCGTCCCTGTTCTCACAGAGACAGTGCCGGGGTCCACGGAAGCTCCCTCCAACAGGTCTGTTCACGGTGGAACCTGCTCACTGTCATCTCATGAGAACAAAATCACAGGCTCTGCCCGGCCCCCGAGTCTCCGCCACAGACCGGCTCACCCCCGTTTACCGCGAAACCCAGGGCCCAGGACGCCACTGGCACCTGCACCGTCCTCACTTAGGCACAGGGAGGGCCCGGCCCGGGCGCCCGGCACGGCAAAGGAGACGCCGCTCAGACGCGGCACGGGCACCGCGGTGGCTCCAGCAACGGCAGCGCCCACACCGCCCGCCCCGACTGGTTCCCACACGAGCTGATGAGACACGTCCCTGCCCCATGACCAGCACACCCAGCAGCAAGAAGAAGAAACCTGTTTCATGTCTATTCATGTAACGGTGAGCATGTATTTCCTCGTGTGCAATTAGAGCTACTGTTTCCACCGCAACGCCGTACCGGCCGGGTGTCACCTCCTGCCGCCGCTGTCCAGGCCAGCGTCACTCACAGGAAGCCAGCCCTGGCCGTAGCGAGCGCGGCTCTCACACTGACCCCAGCCTGGGCCTGGCTTTTCTTTTCTCCCTTCTCTCCTTTGCCCCCCCTTCACTTTCAGTTACTCCCACTTCCCAGGACACCTTACTCCCTTCAGCAAATCTCTCTTGAGCCGCCCTGCCTATGAAGCGAAGGCGGTTTCCCGCAGAGAACAGGTAAGACACGCGTAGCGTCGAGTGTGGGAGCAAAAGCAGCGTCCGGCCACTTCAAACCCATCTGGCTGGAGGGTCCCCCTTCTCCCCAATCTGGCCACGCCGCAAACACCGGAGTGGCGAGAACAGGAGCGCCGGCTGGCAAACGGCTTTCTCCACAGAAAATACACGTGTGTCTAATGACCAACGGAACAAGCCAGCGGAGAAGCGCATGTGGCTAAGGATTCTGAAGCCGTCAGCAGACCTTGGTCTGTTATGTGTTCAGATGGCAACTTTATTAGACCTCCCAGAGTGACGAAGAACATGTTGTATGTTCACATCAACCATCAATGCCAGTTTAACTACATCCTTTTGGAAATTAATATGATCCTCTATTTTGAAAACTCCCAACACAAAGACATCGTTCTTGCTGTCAGTGGTGAGTGAGAAAACCACCATTTCAATATCCGAACGAGCACATTCCAAACACTGTCAGAGCCGGAGCGTCCGGGGCGCCGCCACCTGCCCGTCACAGCTCAGCCGCACACTCCCTGCCACTCCCGTCGCGGGCTCACAGCAGACACGGAGGACACGCGCCAACACGGAAAGGACTTGAACTCTCTTTATACCCTAACTTACACTTCACCTTTTAAATATCCAGGTTATTTTCTCCTAAGGATACATGTACTGCTGTATATTATGTATACGCTATACATGCACAACACTAGAAGTACTGTCTTATAATCCCTTTAAAGAACACTGTGGAACTGGTCAGTGATTGAACAGGGTGTCCCCGAAAATGTGTGTGTATTTTCAATGATTACAAAGTCAATGTTTATGAACACACAGTTCATTTTAAAAATCGAGTTATTAGCCGCTAAAGTGTATATACATTTTTGGGGACACCCTCTACACCCTGTATATTGTATTTTTCTATTTCTTTCTAAGTGGAATAAGCCAATCTGAGGAAGACAAGCATCACATGATCTCACTTATGTGTGGAATCTAATGAACAAAATGAACTGAACAACAAAGTAAGACCTGAAGCAGGGAGGCGTGGAACAGACGGGTGTGCCTCGATGTGGGGGTCGGGGGACGAGCAGAGATAAACCGAAGGACTTACACACTCATATGCACGGCCCATGGACATGGGCAATGGGGGGGTGAAGACGTGAGGGGGGTAGAGGCTGGGCAGAGAGGGGTAAAGGGGCGGAAACGGGAGACTCTGTAATGCCATCAACAATAAAGTATGTGTATACTAACATAATAATAATGTGAAATCTCACAGGGACACGGTAAGACAGGTGGGTGCTAATTAGCAGGTCATTATCGGGTGATTAAACCATGTTAACCTACCTTGCCAATAAAAGCTCCCAGGACCACCAAGAAGCACTCTGTCGGCCTAGATTAAATCAGACAAAACGATGTATTTAAAAGCAGGGGCTTTAAACACGGGAAGCAGTGAGTTAAACATGAGCTGCATCGATGTACATAGAGGAATGGAACACAGATACACATATATTAGAGCGAACAGGATCACAAATCTCAGACTCATCCAACTCAGTCTCAGGTATTCTCAACGTGCCTTTTCTAAAATACAACAAAAATGAGAAGTTATGTTCATTTAATATATGAAAGTTAATGAACGTAACACAACACCCACAGATTCCGTGGCTCGAGGCTGCTTCACAAACTGGGTACAGAAGTTATCACAGGGTTACAACACGGAAAAAAGTCACTCCTTAATATTGTCTGTTACATGTGTGACTACACGGCAGCCTTCCCTCATGAAATCCTTACAAATGTTTCAGCTAAAGGGAGCTTTAGTCTCCTGCAGACCTAAGCAGGAGCGGGCTGAGAAGGCAGATTTCCAGGGTGTATGATATACACAAGTTACTCTTGGCCAGCACTGCTTGTACCCGAGCCGGCTACAAGGACCTGATTCACGGCAGGTCGTGCTTAAGCTCCACATCTCGGACATTTCTTCGGGCTGGAGGTAAAGGAAACGACGTCCCCCTCCCAGTGCTCACAAAGCCCTTTCCCGCTCTCAGCATCCTCCCGCGTGGCTGAGCAACATGGTAGATACTTCTAAGTCATCTGCTCTAAAACGACACCTTTCCTCAGACAGGAGGCGGAGAAGTGAGCAGTGAATTCAGCAATGACTGTTCCTATGAGAATATTCCTACCGGTGTAGGCACAGAAAACATGGACACTTTTTTAAAAAATACAGTAGCCATTTGAAAATATATCACGCAAGTTTAAACCTAATATTTATCGCCATACTTTATCTCTTCGTTTTGCTTCCTTAAATTCTGAACTGAGTAAATTTTGGATTATGAATTTCAAATTGAGTAAATTAAAATCAATTACTTAGTAAGGAAAGCTAACCATAAGTTTCAGTACCTAGTCTAGAAAAAAAAATTTAATAAAAAACAAACATTTTTTAAGAAAGAAAATGCTTTATGATGATTATAGTTGATGTTCTAATAAATCTAAGGCACGCCTCCTCACATTCTACAAGAAAGCTGCAGGAAGCTTTCTGAGGAAGCACTACTTTTAACCAATCAGCATATTTCTGAGATTCCTCTAAGAAGTGATTCATAGTCTCAATTTCACATTCAAAATGCTCAGACCCCCCACCCAAAAATAACCACACAGACAAGCCCCAGGAAGGAAAGTGCTCAAGAAACTTTCCCTTTGAAAATACAAGCCCAACTCTTATTTTAGGAAAAAGATAAAAACCATCAGCTCTGGAAAGCATGTGGTCCTCGTTAGAAATAGGCGGATCCTGCCCTGACCGGTTTGGCTCAGTGGATGGAGCGTCGGCCTGCGGACTCAAGGGTCCCGGGTTCGATTCCGGCCAAGGGCATGTACCTGGGTTGCGGGCACATCCCCAGTAGGGAGTGTGCGGGAGGCAGCCGATCGATGTTTCTCTCTCATCGATGTTTCTAACTCTCTATCCCTCTCCCTTCCTCTCTGTGGAAAATCAATAAAATATATTTAAAAAAAAAAGAAATACGCGGATCCTGCACATCCGACTGGTCCCGCCTCTCACTGGCTTCAGGTCCGCTCGGGGCTGCAGGCGCGTAACGGATGGCAAATACCCTTGTCTCTCGGCGTCTGTGTAACGGGACTCTAACTCCGCCATAAAGCTCCCGGCGATAGCGTTGGTGAAAAATCAGCTTCCGTCAAAACCAGAAAACGCGAACGCTCCAGGAACGCGTCTAACTGGGAATGTTAACGCTGAGTCGTAACAGTTATCTGCCACCCGCCGAGACGCCCCCCCGCCCTCGTCCCCATGTGGATGCCAATTCCAGCAAAAGCGGCGTCGAGGGAGAGAACGCAGAGAACATCCAACGCCTGGGCCACGCTCACTAGCTGTCTGCACGAAACAAGCAGTCGCTACGGCGAAGCTGAAGCGTCGGCCGATTCATTTAACCAGGACTGAGAGGAAGGCAGCCTGGAGCCTCGCCGAGTCATTGAATGAGAACTTACCTTCGTGAAATCAATGCTGAATCCTCCTTGACAGAATCCCTGTCCGTCAGCATCAATGTTTTCTAAAATAAACAAAAGATTGGAAATGTACACAAGCCCCCAAACAAGCGAACAACACACAAGAACAACCCCGACGTCGCTGTGATGGTGAGACAGCGCGCATCTCACTCGCCGGCACTGGGAGCGGCCGCCACGTGATGAGCAGGTGCCCACGCGTGTTCGCTCAGCGAGGACCAGATTCAGGTGCCCGGCCAGTCACCAGGCAACAGAAGAAACACCGAAGGCGGTGAATCTCCCACGTCTTCCTTTTAACCACAAACCACAGCAAGGTTACATTTTATCACACACACACACACACACACACACACCAACATGCACACACACAAATAAAACAATTTCACAGAACACTGCCACCATTGTTAGGTACCGTACACTCTACCACTCTGTAGTTCATCGTATTTCATTCCTTTTTTTTTTTTTTTTTGGTGACTGGTTAGGACCCACTATCTGACTTCATAAAACAATGACGAGTTGTGATCTGAGTTAAAAACTCCCCTTTGAGATTCCCGTCTCTGTTACTATCCTGCAGTTGGTAGGTCTTTGCACGAGTAAAGAAACACATACATTCCTAACGCATCCATTTCTCACGTACATTTTACAGCCAATCACAACAACAGAATCTATTTAAAACACAGTTCAGACCTTCAGGGGACAGCCAGCACCTAACCGATGTTCTGTGAAAAGCAAAGCACGGACCACGCCGCACAACACGTGTAGTTCCGGGGTCGATGAACGCGGGCGGCGTTAAACACGACACTTTCGGGTGCTTTTACCTGATGACAGACTCCGTTGTTCTACTCCTTGGGGGCGACCCTTTTTGGGGGACGGCTTCTGGGCAACTGGTCTATTAATTTCAATGAAATCTAATCATGAGCAATGTTGTGCCTAGACTAGACGCAGGAGGAACCTAAAGGTTTCCCCTTGTTTTATTCTGAGGATAACGGGAAACAGCGAAGAAAAGGCTACTCTTCCCTTGGCAAGGAATTTTCTTTTCTTAACCTCCTTTTCACTTGCAGTTGACAGACAATACTGTATTACTTTCCGGTGTACAAACAGCGATGAGACATGCATATGCCTCGTGACACGACCATCCTGGTAATATCAAGGAATTCTTACAGCCAGTGTCGCCACACAGAGATCATCACGCTGCAGTGACTGCATCTGCCTCCCAAATAGAGGAACCAAAACCGCTGTCTGAAGTCATTAGGGCAGCGTGCGAGGACTTTTGTCAAATACTCCCACCAAACATTCTGAGCCCTTTTTAAAAAACTTGGGAACTGCCCAAGATTACACACTTCGTATTCCAAATTTAGATCCCCCCCCCCCCCCGAAATAAACCTCAGAGTGTGAAGTTACCCGTGTAAAATTTCCTCCCAGGAGGGGCTGGGAACTGTAGCCGGGGTTTCCATTCACAGCATCTGCGAACTCACCCGCAGGGATTCTCTCTGACCTCAGGCCAGACAAGCACTTCCTTCACTTGGGTACATCTGGGGAACTATCTCAGACTGTTTCTGAGGACGTCCTTTCATCGTCAGACTTCCTACGGTTTCCCAGAACATCCCGTTAGAAACCACCCCTGCCCTTTGAAATGGTCTGAACAGGAACACTATTTTTTCTAATGTGCGTGTGGTTTTTTTAAATTGATTTTTAGAGAGAGAATAAGGGAGAGGGAGAGACAGGCAGAAACATCAATGATAAGAGAGAATCACTGATCGGCCGCCTCCCGCACGCCCCCCACTGGGGATCGAGCCCACAACCCGGGCCTGTGCCCTGACCGGGAATCGAACGGGGACCTCCTGGCTCATAGGTCGACGCTCAGCCCCTGAGCCGCGCCAGCCCGGCAGGCACACCACTGAACGGAGTGCTCATGCCGCCGTTAGGAATTTCACGTGGGCCACAACCTCCTTCAGGGGAAGCTTTTGCTTTTATTCCTGCGACGGTTTCTGCCACCCTCAGTGAAGCCTGACGGCAGTGCTGCCTGTGGCAGGCAGAGCAGCTCTGCACGGAGCCTCCCCGAGGCCGGCTGCTCTCAGCCCTTCCTGGCGGCATCTCAGTGCCCACAGTCCACACGCAGGGGAGCGAAGGCTTCCAGATGACCAGTCCGAGCAGCCAGTAGGCGCCAGAGCAGGTGCGAGCCCGAGTGTGTCCACCAGGAGGCGCAGGCCCCCTCTCCCCGCAGGAGCCACCCAGGGGCCGGGAAGCCAACTGGACATGAAAACCAAGAAGGAGCTGTGTTCCCACAACATCCTTGTCGGGAGCGGGCGGCACACGCACCTCCGTCCGGCCTGGGAGTGAGGGCAGGCGCGTCCGCAACGGGGGCTCCGCACTAGAGCAGAGCGGCTGGGCTTACTGTGCGCCGGCTACGGACACAGCAGGAGCCCGGAGCACGTGTCATCAGGAACCAGGAGGCTGCTCACAGTCAGGTTCCAGCCCAGGGTGTCCCCGTGGGTCATGCCTGCGTGGCTCAGGGGTTGAGTGTCAACCTATGAACCAGGAGGTCAGGGTTTGACTCCCAGTCGGGGCACCTGCCCGGGTTGTGGGCTCCATCCCCAGTGTGGGGTGTGCAGGAGGCAGCCGATCAGTGACTCTCTCTCATCACTGATGTTTCTCTCTCTCTCTCCCTCTCTATCAATTAAAAAAGAAACGGTATTAGTCTGAAGTTCTCAATTCGAGTACCCCTCAAAGTCACCCATGGAATTTCTTTAAAATGCAGGTCCCCAGGCCTGCCCTTGTCCCACTGAGTCAGAGTCTCTAACGTCTGTCAGAAAAGCTCAGTGGACCTTCTTTTGACTAAAAGTGACTAAAAATACAAGCTTCCAACATTGAGTATGAGTTACAACTAACTACGGAGGATGGAGACTCCTTCTTCAGAGACAAGCCTGCCGGCCGCACACTTGTCCTGACTTTACGGTACCAGCACTGGCTTCCCTTTGCTGTCATCAAACATGACAGCCTGTCTATGAATGTTCACCCCCTCCCTCGACACGCGCACGCACACGCACACACGTGCGCACACACGCACACACGCACGCACGCACACACGCACATCCTTAACCATCTAGGCCCCCGCCCTGTTTTCAGAGGTGGTGCACATCCCACACGTACTTGACCGGCACGGGGCGTACTCCACGGTCCGCGCCCCGTCCTGAAGGAAGCAGGTGCCCACGGGTTCTCGCTCCTGCTTCGTCTCCGTCCTCCAGTGGTACAGCGGGGCGCAGGCCTGCCGTCAGAGGGGCCAGTGAGCGCGAATTCTCTGAAACCAGCGTCTCAGACCACCTCGCCTGCCTCAGAGCAACAGTCCTCTGACTCAGGGCTCGGACGTACGGATGGTGCGTACTTCCAGCCACGGGCAGGGTAGGAGGGGCTGGGGAGAAGGCCTCGACAGAGACTCTGGGGCCCAGAACAGACCACGGGGACACCACACACTTAGAAAGTGAGCAGGAGAGGAGCCATTGAAGGAGACGGCAAAGGAGTAGCCAGCGAGAGGGGAGGGAGCCAGGCCAGGGTGGGGTCCGTAGCCAAGGGAAGGGCATGACTTCAAAGAGGGGTTGCCAGGCCAGTGTGGATCAGTGGTTGGGTGTCGGCCCATGAACTAGGGGGTCACGGTTCAATTCCGGTCAAGGGCACAGGCCCAGGATGCACGCTCGATCCCCAGTGTGGGGCGTGCAGGAGGCAGCTGATCTGTGATGTTTAAACATGAAACTCCCTTCATTTCTACATAAACCGACTATGAACAAACAAAACACTCACCAAAATTTTGTCCTGCTTGGACCTCACGGATGCGCCAAACCACTGGTGGGACTTAAATTCCAACGGGTCGTCCTGGGCATAGTCCCTGTTGCCTGAAACACAGAGAGTGCGGGATGCACGTCGAACAGCACGTTCTGGGGCGGCAGCTGGTTCCACGCAGCAGCTTTAATAGCGTGGCTCTGCTCAGCCAGGCTCCACATCGCTTGTTCATCTCCTGCCCTTTCCACCGAATCGGGAAAGATGCCTTAGCCACGTCCCAGGGTGTCACTCACCTCACCGATCACCCTAAGGCAGACGTGGAGCAGTAACAGCCATGGAGGTTTTCTGGTTGCCAAACTGTAAGGTAACTGACGATAAACAAATACTTATGATTGCCAACGGGCCCCCCGGCAGCTCTCTCTGTGGCATAAAGACATTTACGGAAATAAGAGGCTACGAAACGCGGCTGCAGAACACCAGCCGCAGAAGGGCCACCGCCAGGGGCCAGGCGGCCGGGCGCTGCGATGCCAGAGCGGAGCCAGGAGCCAGGACGCAGCTTGGAGGGAAGAGAACTCGGTTTGGGATGAGAAAGGCAAACGTTTCTCCTCCGGGCTGCGTGACCGCGAAAACTACCCCCAAAGTCCCAGGCGTCGTGGGAAGCGCCGTCATTGAAAACACGATAAAAACCCCTCCCGCGGTGAAGCTCATGGGGAAAACGCAGAGACCCGCATGGAGTGTTTGGGGAGGAGAGACCAGTTTGTTCATCTCTAGTTTGTTCTGCTTAAAATCCCTTCATAATCCTTCCTCATAAGTGCCAGGGGCCAATACAGCGCCGACGTCAGGAATGCAGGCCCACACGTGAGTATCGCCAAATGCCCCGAGTGCCTCCGCTCTTCAAATCCGTTCCCTAAGCCGCACCCACGTAGGGTAGTACGACGGTTATTAAATCCGTTTTGGAGACTTGACACTCACGGACAGACCTAAAGAATTAATGAGCATCTCAGTAATGCCAGCTGTCTGACAGGCAAGGGGAAGGGTGTACCCTTGTTCATCGTAATACTCTTTTTGTTGTTGTTTAGAAAAATTTTTAAACGTATTTGTATTGATTTCAGAGGGGAAGGGAGAGAGAAACATCCATGATGAGAGAGAACCATGGATCGGCTGCCCCCTGCACGCCCCACACTGGGATCGAACCCACAACCCAGCATGTGCCCTGAGCGGGAATCGAACCCTGACCTCCTGGTTCATAGGTCGACGCTCAACCCCTGGGCCACGCGGCCGGGCTGAAAACAGTGTTTAATGTGTCGACCTCAAAGGCCTGGCTCTCTCTGAGTCTGAGCACCATGTTCTCCGCCCGTGGCCAGGAGGCTCCGTTTGTAAGTAGAGGGAAGAAGAGGAGCAACGGACTAGTTGACACGCGTCCTTCCCTGTGAAAACCAAGGCTCCCCGCCACGCTGGCTGCCGCGAAGCCGTGTTCGCCGTGCGGCCCCCCTGGGAGCAGCCACGTCCGTGACCTGCAGGTCCCCAAGCAGCCGGCAGGTCCTCACTCCATCCACCCCGGGAGGTGAAGCCACAGGCCCAGTGCCCGCCAATGCCCTCAGCACAGACAGAAGCGACCGTTCAAGACGGCTCCGCGTGGCTATGAGTTAACTAATCATCGTTAAAATGGAAAGGAAAACCACAGTAAGATATCACGGCACATCAGTTGGAATGGCTATTATTTAAAATTTAAAAAAAGGATAAAGAGATGCTTGCAAGGATGTGGACAAGAGGGAACCCTGTACACTGCCGGTGGAAACGTAACTGGTGGAGCCATCATGAAAAAAATAGGCTGCTCAGGAAGTTAAACGTAGAGCTGTCCTATGACCAGCAGCCCCGCTTCGGATTCACAGGAAAAGGGAATAAAATCACTGTCTGGAAGGGTCCCTGTGCTCCCAGCACCCACAGCAGCCAGGACACGGAGGCCACCTAACCGCCTCCTGAGGAACGAAGGGAGGAGGCGCCGGGGACCAGGATGAGGGCAGCGCAGGCGGGAGGCACGCTCGCTCCTCCAGAGTCGCAGCTGAAACGCAGAGCGATCGCCCAGCAGACGAGCCGCACAGAAGCCTCCCAACCAGGATGGACAGAAGCCACATCGACAGGACGGCAGGAGCGGGGAGTCGAGCAGGGCTGGCCCCGTTCGGGAGCTGAGAGGATGGGGGGTCCCTTGGCGGCGAAGGTCCCCCTGAGGAGCGTGGTCTCAGGCCCACGCGGGGAACCCCAACCCCGAGCCCCAGAGCCGGGGAGGGGACCCACATCACAGCGGCTGAGGAAACCATGGAGTGTCCGCCGCTGGGGAACCCGGGCTGAACTGAAACGCAGATGTGCCCCAACAGCCACGGGCCGAGGTCATGTGATCACTGCGCTGTCAGTGACCTCACCGGCCCACAGGCAGGCAGGCAGGCCCGATGGGACGCACCACAGCAACCCCAGGACCAGCCCCTCAGGAGGATGCGAATCACCCACGCGCGCGCCTCCGGGGTCACACCGCAGTCCCCTCACCCAGGCGCGCGCCTCCGGGTCACACCGCAATCCCCTCACCCACGGCGAGTGCCCTCGGGGTCACACCGCAGTCCCCTCACCCACAGGGAGCGCCCTCGGGGTCACACCGCAGTCACCCTCGTTCAGCACTTTGCTCCAGAGGCAGTTCCCTCTTTAACCCTCTGACCTCTTCCTTCAGAGACCGGCCTGGAAACACCGACAGCCTCAGGCAGAAGCTCCTTAGAGGAAGTGTGAAGGGGCGGGACCCTCTGTCCGCACAAACGGACAAGCAGCTGGGGCCTGACCACCCCCGACCCCCCTCCCCGCCCCCCACGCCCCCCATCCCCCACCCCTCTCCCCTGCAGCGGGCGCCACGTGGGGCGGGAGGGAAGTGAAGACACAGTCACGGCCCTGAGGCCCCCGGGGCGAGTGGACCGGGCTCCCCAGGGAAATGGGGTGCGGTCAACGCAGAAGTGCCCGTGGGAGGACATGGTCCCAGGCCCCAGACAAGAAAGAACCCCGACTTCTGTGCATCATTCTGTAAAACACCTTGGACCGTTTCCTTAGATCTTCCAGGTAATTAAACAGTATTTCCCATAATAGTGAGACGAGAAGACACGTCCCCCATCACATAAACTAACATATTTTATCACTTTCAAACATCGAGGAGAGCCCTGGCCGGTGTGGCTCGGTGGTTGAGCGTCGGCCTACGAACCAGGAGGTCAGGGTTCGGTTCCCGGTCAGGGCATGTGCCCAGGTTGCAGGCTCAGTCCCCAGTGTGGGGCGTGCAGGGGGCAGCTGACCCTCTCTCATCATTGATGTTTCTGTCTCTCTCTCCCTCTCCCTTCCTCTCTGACATCAAAAAGATATATTTTTTAAATCAATTAATAAAAAAAATAAAATTAGATATAATTTTTTCCAAAAGCAAAGAGGAGTGAGAACAGCAGAGCCAGGAGGAGGCACGATGAGGGCCATGTCCCGGACGGGGGTGCGTCTGTGCATTTATGGAGTCGCCTCTCCACAGGGACAGGAACCGAGGCGCACCCCCCCCCGCCCCCAGCCCCCCACCAGCGAGTGCGAGAGGTTCCGCTGAGCAGCGGAGAACACAGGCCCTTTGAGAGCCCCCCGCCCATCAATGCTGGCTTGTTCCCCAGCGAGGAGGCGGAAATGCTCCTGAAAGCATCTAACAGTTCAAGACAAAAACTCTTTGCTGACGGCTTTTGTTTTAAAGCCAAGTCGATGTTAAGCCTTAAAAAAGGGGGGACGTGTCCGGTCAGCGTGGCCCAGAAAGAGGCTTTAAAGCAGTGGTTCTCAACCTTCCTGACGCCGCGATCCTTTAATACAGTCCCTCATGTTATGGTGACCCCCAATTTCATTGTTACAAATTGAACATAATTAAAGCACAGTGATTAATCACAAAAACAATCTGTAATTATATGTGTTTTCCGATGGTCTTAGGCGACCCCTGTGAAAGGGTCGTTCGACTCCCAAAGAGGTGGCGACCCACCAAAGGATCCTAAGAAAATTCCGTTTTGGCAAAACATTGCAAGTGTTAAAATAGCAACTAACGGCACGAGTGAGTCACCTGGGAACACAGGACGGGGCTCCCTGACGCCAGGCTGCCGGCCACTCCCCACGGGTCTCATTCTGCACTGACCACCTCTGTGTCATTACACAGAAAAGGAAGCCCGAGCCGGTGTGGCTCAGTGGACAGAGCGTCGGCCAGCAGACCAAAGGGTCCCGGGTTTGATTCCGGCCAAGGGCACAGGCCTGGGTTGCAGGCTCCGCCCCGGCCTGGGCCCTGCCTGGGCCGTGTGTAGGAGGCAACCAAACAATGTGTTTCTCTCACATCGATGTTTCTCTGCCTTTCCCTCTCCTTCCACACTCTCCAAAAACCAACGGAAAAATATCCTGGGCTGAGGATTAAAAAAAGAAACAAAAGGAAAGGACTTCACACAGTTACAAGCTTCCAATGTTGGCCCCACAACCATCAGGGCGCCTCTCCTGGCTCAGCTCTCGGACTCGCCAATGCCCAATGCCCAGCTCGCCCAGTGGCGCTGCCCGTCTGCCTGCAGCTGCTCCGTCTAAAGGCGATTTACCCTCCGGGCGCCGTGTGGGCAGAAGCAGTGCTATCCGGCCGCTTAGCCACTCCGAGTCATGAGCCCCATCGGCAGGTAGACAGGAAAGGCGGGCCCGGCCGGCGTGGCTCAGGGGTTGAACATCGACCTATGAACCAGGAGGTCAGGGTTCGATTCCCGCTCAGGGCACAGGCCCGGGTTGTGGGCTCGATCCCCGGTGTGGGGCGTGCAGGAGGCAGCCGACCCATGATTCTCTCTCATCGCTGATGTGTTTCTCTCTCTCTCTCCCTTCCCGTTGTGATACAATCGGTCACAAATGAATGACAGCTCATCCTGCCAGTCATCGTACCTTGTGCCAGAATGCAAAAGCCCGACCCGTGTCACGCGGCCTCACAGGTCTTCCTCCCTCTGAGGAAAGCCTGCGCCGGTCGGGGTCCTTTTGGGGTTCCCCATGTCAGCCGCACGTGGAAACAGTGGGGCCTCATGCAGACGGCTCACACGGAAAAACCGGGCACGTGACCGCTGCCCTCGAGCCGGTCTGATGACTGACACCCACTCTGGCGCCGGTCACGACGGCCCACGTCACGGTTCCCGTGTCACCGACACTGCCGTGCCCGGAGCGAATACGGTTTAGGACGAGCAGGAAGTGACAATGCGGAAAAGGCACTCACCTCCCCAGCTTATCCTAAACTCCTAGCGCAGCCAGCAAACCGGGAGCATGTGAAGAACAGGGTCAAACTCCTGCAGCTGGAGAGCGTCACGCCACTTCTTGGGGCTTTCTACGCTTTCACCAACACACAAACATGCCAACACGGGTGCGTGCAGGATCATACACAGGGCGAGCCCCCAGAGGGTACAAAATGGAAATGGCAATGAATAGTGACTAATCCAACGGGCTACATCTGAGAAGAAGGAAACACCCACTGAGCTGCCAGCTGTTAAAGCTGTTACACTTGGAGGGACACCCTCTACCTTATTTCACTGATCTAAATGCAAAACTTATTTTTTTTTATTGATTTCAGAGAGGAAGGGCGAGGGAGAGAGAGAAACACCAATGATGAGAGAATCATGGATCGGCTGCCCCCTGCACGCTCCCTATTGAGGATCGAGCCCACAACCCGGGCATGTGTGTCTGACCAGAATCGAACCCGGGACCCTTCAGTCTGCAGGCCGATGCTCTATCCACTGAGCCACAGCAGCCAGGGCTATGTATCTTATTTTATTAGAATTTTACAGTTAAGTTAAAGCAAGCACTTTCAAAAATCAATATTCTTAAAAAATCCAACGGCAGCTTGTAGTCAGGGGCCCGGCACCGGCGTTTACCTGTGGCGTCGAACTCGATGGGCTGGCACCGCCGCTGAGAAGCCCAGTCGCACTTGAGGACCTGGCCGCCCTCCACGATGCCAGGCTGCGTGGTGTTGGCCTTGGGCGCGCCCACCAGGAGGAACATGCTGGAACCAGAGGGAGGGGCGTTAGCAAGGCACAGAGCAGCGGCTGTGCAAAGGCACCTGAGCCCCAGGCCGGCTGCCCCGCTCCCGCCCTCCAGGGCGGCCCCTGGGAGGCCCCTCAGCCCCCAGGACGCCCCCTCCGAGCTCTCGCCACATCACCTCCCGCACCCGCCTCCCGTCCGCCCCTCCCGGCGACCTGGGTCCCCCCTAAACTTAGATGCAGGAGGGGCACGGGCCCTCGGGCGCATGGCTCTCAGCCCCTGGAGGTCCTGCCCCCAGGGGCCCTCTGTGGGTGCAGGGAATATTCACAGAAGCCCTCTCCAGGCCGGGCGCTCTCCGTGGGCAGCCGACGCAGGGCCTGCGTCCATTGTCACGTTTACTTGGTTTCCGTTCCATTTCGTGGGGAGGCCCCTGCCAGGCCAGCCTCGTGCTCAGCGCTGGCTGCGTGGACGCAGCCTGGGAACCTGCCCGGACCCCACCTGGACCCCCAGACTCACCGCAGACGCGCCCAGCAACGCGCACCCGCGGGCGCACCCACTGCCGGCCCTCCTCCTGGCCCCCGACTCTGCGAGAAATCAGCCTCCCACCTGGACCCCCAGACTCACCGCAGACGCGCCCAGCAACGACGCGCCCAGCAACGCGCACCTGCGGGCGCACCCCGGCTCAGCGAGAAATCGGCCTCGCTTCCCTTCAGAGAGAGCCGTCCCGAGAGAACGATCAGACGGGCGTCCGCCCTCGCCGCCCTATCTCTAGAGCGGAGCCTGGACGTGGCGCCCGTCACGGGACGTTTCATCGCAGCAGGCGCACGAGGGCCACACAGCCTCCCCCCATCCCCGCGTGGGGGGTCACTGTGAGTGACGATGGGAGAAGGGAAATCTCACACGGGTCAGGGTCAGGGTCCCCGTGGAGGGGAGGGGCGCTCGCCGTGACCTCTGACCCACGGCGCAGGCACAGGGCACCGTGAGCTCCATGCGGGTGCGGGGTCTAGGCCGTCGGGCGGGGCAGCTGGCCCTCAGGACGCCTGAAGCCACAGGCACATGCTGCTCTGGACCCGCAGCTCACCCGTCACACGGCCTTTCACACGCCTGTGGCTGCTGTGAACCCTCCCAGGGGGGGTTTCCCATTGCTTCTCAGAGAGTGGATGAAAGGGGGGGGCGAGGGAGAGAGAGAGAGAGAGAGAGAGAGAGAGAGAGAGAGAGAGAGGCGACTGCTGCCCTCCTACCCATGCCCCGACCGGCAAGTGGGGAGAGACCCACAGCCCAGGTCCTCGTCCCTGATGGGGCGTCAACCCCACAACCTTCTGTGCTTAGGCCACACCCAAACCACTGAGCCGCACCAGCCAGGGCCAACCTCTTACCATTTTCTTTTTTTAAAATATATTTTATTGATTTTTTACAGAGAGGAAGGGAGAGGGATAGAGAGCTAGAAACATCGATCAGCTGCCTCCTGCACACCCCCCACTGGGGATGTGCCCGAAACCAAGGTACATGCCCCTGACCGGAATCGAACCCGGGACCCTTCAGTCCGCAGGCCGAGGCTCTATCCACTGAGCCACAATGGTCAGGGCTCTTACCATTTTCTATCAAAGCTATTTCCCCCCTTTACAATGAATTACTTCCTTGAGTGGAGAGGATGCTAATTCATCTTCGCATCTGACACACAACACCACCCAAGAAGAGATGTTTAAACTGACCGCTGAGAAGCAAGGAACTGTGGTATCCAAGGGGTTCAACATACAACAGCCGCCTGTAACGGAGCCACTTCCCGCCGCCTGGGAGCGTGAAGAAGGCACCTCCTGGTGCACAATCACGGGGGAAACTGCCTGTAAACTCATCATATTTGGGTTCCGGATGCTTCGCCCGGCACGTGAGGCAGGGGGGCCGTTCGGAGTGAACATGCGGCCGAGCTCCGCGGGTGAGAAGGAACAAGGCGCCTTTCATCCGACGCTGCCCGCTCCAGGCACGAGGGCGGCGACCGGACGGACGCACGTGGGTGTCGCCGAGTCCCCCTGAGATACTCCGTGTGCAGCCTGCCCGCGGCTGCAGCACGACAGACAGACACGTGGGACCACATGGACGGAGAGTGTGAGCCTGCAGGTCCTGACTGCGAGGTCCTGGGGGGAGGGAGCCGAGGAATCAAGTTCTTGGTCTAAAATGTCAGCACGTGCCCGGCCGGCGTGGCTCAGGGGTTAAGCATCGACCTATGAACCAGGAGGTCAGGGTTCGATTCCCGGTCAGGGCACAGGCCCGGGTTGCGGGCTCCGTCCCCAGTGTGGGGCATGTAGGAAGGAGGCAGCCGATCCGTGATTCTCTCCCATCACTGATGTTTCTATCTCTCTCTCCCTCTCCCTTCCTCTCTGAAGTCAGTAAAGATACATAAAAATAAATAAGCAAAGAGAATGTCAACATGGAATTTAAGTTACTTTGGAGAGGATCACGGAGAGATGCAGGAGGCGAACCGGCCTTGGGTGGACGTGAACGTCTGGAGAGGGAGTCGTGTGGAGGAAAATTACACATTTGTGTGGAACCGAGTACGGAGGGTGGCAAGAGGCGCTGAGAAAATGAAGGAACGTGAAAAACAGCACAAATCACGGAAAACTAAAGCCTGTTCCTGTGTTGGGAGGGCGCCCTTTATGTCCTGTGGTTTCTGACACAATCACACAAGGAGCCTGCTAATGAGACACTCTACAGAAAATTAACTAATTGCTCCTTGAAGCTCATCCAAGAAACCCAATGCCCGTCTGCAGCAGCGTGAGCAGGGCCACGGGGTGGCCGCCCAGAGAAAGCGTTTGCAACACAAGCAGCGCTGCCCAGGGGCACCGTTCGGGACTAAACAGCTACCACCTGACATAACTCAACCGGCAGAGTCGCGTGCATTCTCCCAGTGTCGGCTTCCTCTGTGCTGAACGGAGGTAACAGTGTCGACGGCCAGGACCCACAGAGTGAGGTTTCAGGACGCGGGCAGCAGACGCCGGCTCACCTAGAACCCCTGACGGCACCCCCCGGTGACCGGACCAGGCATCCAAACTACAGGAACACGCTTCCCAGTGACAAAGGAATAGAAACGTTCAATCCGCTATTTTTTTAAAATATATTTTTATTGATTTTTTTTTAATTGATTTCAGAGAGGAAGGGAGAGGGAGAGAGATAGAAACATCAATGATGAGAGAGAATCATGGATCGGCCGCCTCCTGCACGCCCCCCACTGGGGATGGAGCCCACAACCAGGGCCTGTGCCCTTGACCGGAATTGAACCCTGGGACCCTTCAGTCGGCAGGCTGACGCTCTATACCAGGGGTGGGCAAACTTTTTGACTCAAGGGCCACAATGGGTTCTTAAACTGGACCGGAGGGCCGGAACAAAAGCATGGATGGAGTGTTTGTGTGAACTAATATAAATTCAAAGTAAACATCATTACATAAAAGGGTACAGTCTTTTTTTTTTTTTAGTTTTATTCATTTCAAACGGGCCGGATCCGGCCCGCGGGCCGTAGTTTGCCCACGGCTGCTCTATACACTGAGCCAAACCAGCCAGGGCCAAATCTACTTTTTTTAAGTGTTTGTTTTTTTTCTTTCCTTGGTTTCCTCCAAGGACCACTGACGAACTCAAATGCTGCAAAATCACAGAGAAAAGAGGAAGGGTAGGAAGTCGCTGGCTCGCCGCATTTCCTGCCGACGGTGGAGGCTGGGGAGGGCACACGGGTCACGGCTCACAGAGGTGTCCCTGGTCAGCAGCCAATCACCTGAAGCTCAGCAATTTCGTTTCTTATGCCTGCAACTTTCCCTCCATGAAGTTTGGCCAAGAACAGTATCAGGATCCCGTCCTCACCTTTCTGTTTTTTATTTTTTTAAATACATTTTTGTTGATTTCAGAGAGGAAGGGAGAGAGAGAGAGAGACGGAAACATCAATGATGAGAGAGGATCCTTGATCGGCTGCTTCCTGCACGCCAACCCGGGCAAGTGCCCTGATTGGGAATCCAACCGTGACCTCCTGGTTCATGGGTTAATGCTCAACCACTGAGCCACACCAGCCACTGAATGACTTGAGACTTTCCATTCAATTCCATTTCAAAATCAAGGTGTGCGTGCCTGAGCAGGCTGCTGACATCACGCTAAGAAATTCTAAAAGGTAAAGGGCAAAGTGTGGGCTTGGGGGGGGGGGGTTGAAGATGGAGAGACAGGCGGGGGGGGGGGGGGGCAGGGAGGCGGGAAGAGGCAGGGCTGAGTGATGGAGGAAGACACAGACAGGTAAACCCGACGTGTCACTTTAAGGGCAGCGGCTCTGGGGATGTGACCTTGACTCCCAAGGACAGGCAACCAGCAAACAAGGACACGCACATCCAGTCAACCCTGCAGAGGAGCGCGTTCTCGGCTGCTCCCAGCCCACGCCTCTCCCCGAAGCAGCTGGTGACACCCGGCCGCCTCCGGGGGCCAGTGAGCTGCCACAGAAGGAACGTCTGAAAAACCGCCGTATACGTTACAGAAAGACGTGTGCAAAGACTTCAGAGCCACTTGCTCTCCTCTAGGACATGCTAGAGCAGCATGCGCAGGACGCAGCACAGGTGCGGGGACTGTCAGTCCCACGAGGTCCCTTCTCTTCTATGCCGTCCGACGAGCCCTGGGCCTGAGTCGGGAGCAACCAACACAGGGTTTAATTCCTAAGTCCTGAGGCTGTGGTGTGTGGACGTCTGTTGTTTATGGAAGAAAGGAACCGACACAGCCAGGGCCACACGGAAGCTTTGTGTCAAGCGTCGTTTGTACAGAGCTGTGAACGTGGTCACAATGATGGGGGGAGACATGGGGCGCGAATATCTCCCTCTGGATATTTTTTCCATTGAATTTTAGAGAGAGTGGGAGGGAAGGATGGAGGGAGGGAGGGAGACAGAGAGAGAGAGAGAGAGAGAGAAGCATTGATGTGAGAGAGACACATCCATCGGTTGCCTTCTGCACGTGCCCTGGTCAGGGCAGGATGGACCTGTAACCTAGGACGTGCCCTTGACCAGAACTGAACCAAACCTGGGGCCCTTTGGGGCTCGTCCAACGCCCTAACCACCGAGCACACGGGCCAGGGCAGGGCGTGAGCGTCCGACAGAGGGGCAGAGTGGGGAGACGGAAAGGGCCTCCCCCACGACGATGACGCCGGGCCTCTCTCCGGCCCTGGGAGGGAGACGCTGTGGGGGAGACATTAGCAGCCAAACGGCAGGAGCACAGGGGGCCCCATAGACACGACTCCCGGGAGCACGGGCGAGGTCTGCAGGCTCCGGGCCCGATGGTGGGCACGGGGCGGGGACTGAGCGCCCACACACTCGTACGGACCACCGGGCGCAGGGGCGAGGGCAGGAGCAGAGGTGGGAGGCAGGGGACGGGCACAAGGAAGGGCTCCGGGACCGTCTGCCTGGTGACTGACCACGGGCTGGTATTGGGGGCGCAGTTATAGAAACAACGGGAAACAGACCACGAGAGGGAGGACGTGAAGCTACTTCCCCGGCGACGACGGAGAAGAGGAGGCACCGTGAACAGAAACAGGTGACCTGGCACCGCCTGGCGCAAAGCCCTCCAGGCTGCGGGGTGCGAGTCACAGCTGGCTGACCCGAGGGGCCCCGGCGCCCTGGGGAAGCTCCCGGTGCTGCCAACAGGAGGGGGGGGTGCAGAACCACCAGCAGTCGCAGGACCCAGCCAGGCACGCTCCCCACACCCTGCCTCTGGGGCCCACGCGTGTTGAACAGGGAGACGGACAGGCCCGACCAGCGCCCCTCAGCACAGACCGTGAAAGGTGAACTCCTGTGCGCAAGGAAAACTGAACGGGAACGCTGCTCCACGCCCGTCTTCCTGAAGCTTTTCAATGTGACTGTGAACGTGGCACGGAACTCGAATCCCACGCCATCTCTCCCCATCACACCGGGCCCTGCCCCACCCACTCCCCACTCCCCACCCCACAGCCGAGGCCGGGTGGGGACCTTTCTCCCGCGAGGGCCACGTGGGCCTTCGTCACATCATTCGGGGCCATCAGAACGTCACCTTAAAAATGAGCCCGCTGCGCCCACCCCCACCCGGTCAAACATTGACCTAACTCACCCCGGACCCGGGGCAGGGCCAGGCCAGTGATTCGGGGCCTCCTGTGGCCCTCGGGCCGGACGCTCCCCACCCTGAGCGAAAGCCTGGAACTCTTCTAGCTCCGCCTCCTGGCCTGTAAGATGGAGTTTACCTGCTTCCCCACCCGCCCCGTGGGTGGTGCTGTGGGGTCAGATGAGAGCAGGAGGAAAAGTGCTGTCGGTTACAAAGCAGGTTAACCAACGTGAGAGGCCATGATTCTGAGTAAGTCCAGGGTGCAACCTGTACTGTCCCCATTACTCTCCCCAAGAACATGGTCTTCCTTCTGGGCCTGCACAGGACCTTTACATTTTACATAAGTTTGGCACGATGACCGCCATAAGTTAATGCACGCGGGGAAAGGTACATAACACGCTTCCTTCTTATTTGACACAACTTTTAAATCACTGTGTTTGTGACTTTCCACTTCGTACCGAAAAACTGGTTTCTGGAGGATTTTCTTGAGGCGTCCCCTTGATATTTTTGATGGGTGCTTTATTTTTCCTTTTCTTTAATAATCACCGATGCGTCAGTTTTCACAACAAAATGGAAATCATTCAATAACAAAGCTCTCTGACAAGAAAAGTTAGACTAAAGCATTGCCACCGCTGCCCGAGGCCTCAGATGCCTACAGAACCCAGAGGCAGCCGGGAGGGACTTGACTGCCTTCGCTTCCTCCTGAGCCGGTGTTCTGCCTCAGGAGGAAGGAACCTTTTTCAAAAAAAAAAAAAAAAAAAAAAAAAAATATATATATATATATATATATATATATTTTCTTGACTTCAGAGAGGAAGGGAGAGGGAGAGAGAGATAGAAACATCAATGATGAGAGGGAATCATGGATCGGCTGCCTCCTGCACGCCCCCTACTGGGGATCAAACCCACAACCCGGGCAAGTGTCCTAACGGGGCATCAAACCGTGACCTCCTGGTTCATAGGCTGATTTCTATTTTTTTATGATTATTGACTAGAGGCCCGGTGCATGAATTCATGCTCCAGTGGGGTCCCTCGGCCAGGCCTGCAAGATCAGGCCAAAACCAGCTCTCCGACATCCCCCAAGGGGTCCCAGATTTCGAGAGGGCGCAGGCCAGGCCCAGGGACCCCACCGGTGCCCGATAAGGGCCAGGGGGCACCTCGGGAGGGCTCCAGGGCATGTCCGGCCCATCTCACCCAGTCCCCATGGGCCAGACCCAGCAGCAAGCTAACCTACTGATCAGAGCATCTGCCCCCTGGTGGTCAGTGCGCATCATAGCGGCTAGTGGGACCGTCGAAGGAATGGTCGGACACTTTGCGTCTTAGGCTTTTATTATATAGGATTTCAGAGAGGAAGGGAGTGGGAGAGAAAGAAACATCAATGAAGAGAGAGAATGATTGATCGGCTGCCTCCTGCACACCCCCACACGAGGCATCCAGCTGCAGGCTGGGGCGTGTGCCCTGCTGGGAATCGAACCGTGACCTTCATAGGCCGATGCTCAACCACTGAGCCACACCGGCCTGGCTGACTTCCATTTTTTCAGTAAAGCTATACCTAGAGCTCACGAGTCTATCAGTGACAAAGATTTCAAAACACTGTCTGAAAACAAACCGAGCTGGGCTCTACCTCACCCTGGAAAGCCCACGTGGGCGGTCCCGTAACCTGTGAGGTCACAGTAGAGGCAGCAACTTCCTGACTAAACAAAGATGAATCATCCAGCTGCCTAACCAGACACAGTGAATGTCTCAGGGCAACAGTTCAACGGGACCGCACCTCCCGGTAAAAACAAAGGCGAGCACCTCGTTCTGTGTCTTCACTGAGCCCAGAGGGCGGCCTCAGCCCCGGGAGCGGCGTCTGCGAAACATTCCACCAGCCCTGACGCAGGCAGCGCTCACTCCGCTAAGCTCAGTGCTAACTCTGGACAAGAGACACTGCGTCCTCAAAACTGTCCGAACTGCTGTACAAGTTAAACCCCAAAGAGCAGCCCTGGGGGCCACTAAAATCCCCTGTGCCTAAAGGCAGACACGTAAAAATACCCGCAAACAAGAATTTACATAACAGACACGCCGGCAAGTGATGAAATCAGAGAAGGCAGGAGATGCCGCCTACCGTTAGCGCCTGTTAATCGCTCTGGAAATCTGTGCTCGGCTCACAGCTCTGAGGCTGAAACAGCAAATAAGACCGAGTTCCCGGCACAAACCGTGCCCAGCTCCACCAACTGCTTCCGCCCTGCGTCCTGCTGCACCCGGGTCGCCAGAGTGAGCGATGCGCCACATCAGAGGGACTGGAGCCCGGCTCCTGCCCCAGGCCCCGCGGGTGGGACAGTCTTAGATCATCTCCACGGTGGGCGCCGAGCGGCACGCGGTCTCTGAATGCCGGGCCGGCATCCCCATGACCGTCCCTCCACCCAACACGGAACTTTAAAATACAAAAATGGGGGGGGGGCGGTTAGAGAGCAGCCAAGGGACTGGTCCGCACGCGGGTCAGCATAACCAAGGCACAGACAGGGCGGTGGGTGGGAACGGCTGGGGGGGGGGGGGCAATTGGGGGAAGGAGACACATGTACAACTTTGGACAAGAAGCTATAAATAAATAAATAAATAAATAAAATACAGTGTTTCCATTGCTAAGTCCCAGAAACACCACCAAGAACAGCTTTCCCTCCAGAAAGCAAGGTTTAAGCATCAAAAGGCATCCGGCGGCCCTGGCCGGTTCGGCTCAGTGGACAGAGCATCAGCCTGTGGACTGAAGGGTCCCAGGTGCGATTCTGGTTCCGGGAACTTGCCTGCATTTCGGGCTCCCCGCCCTGGTCCCTGGTCGGCGCGTGGGTGCAGGAGGCGACCAACACATGGGATGTGTCTGCCTCCCCCGCCTTCCGCTCCCTCTAAAATCAATGGAAAAACACCCGGGGGCGAGGCTGAACAACAAAAAGGCATCCGTCCAGCGGACACCATTACGTCACTAGTCCGAAGGCCGACGCGGGGCTGGGGAGGCGAGAATGACGTCACTGTCCGGCCAAGTCCCGCCGGTCCCGAGTCCGTCCGAGCCCCGCCGGCCTCGGCCTCTGCGCGCGGACCGGGGTCTCGCCTGCTCAGCCCGAAGCGCACAGGCCCGGCCCAGAGCGAGGCGCCGGGCGGGCGGAGACGGGGGGCGGGCTGCGGAGGGAGCGGGAACCCCGGCCAGGCTCGGGGCGCCGGGAATGAGGGGCGAAGCTGGCCCGGCCCGGCCCGGCCCGCCTGGGTCCATCTGCACTTCCCGGGTTCCCAGCCCAGGTCGCTCCCAAGTGCCCCTCCCGGGAGCGGAGGGGAGCGGAGGGGAGCGGAGGGGAGGTGGGGGCCTCGGGCTCCTCTCCCCAGACGCGCCACCCCCGGAACCTACACCAGCGGGGGTGGGGGCGTCCCCCGAGTTCTCCCCCGAGGTCTCCCCCGGATCCGCTCCCGCGCGGGCAGCGCCCACCCGCGGACACTCACGAGGACGCGCTGGGCACGAAGAAGTCCACGGCGAAGCCGAAGTAGCTGCCCTCGGGGCCCGCGTACTCGGCGGGGCTGTCGGCGTCCAGGTTGAAGGCGCCGCAGACGGGCAGCAGCAGCGCGGCCAGGAGCAGCCCGGCGGCGGGGCGCGCGGGGCGCGGGGGGCGCGGCGGGGAGGCCATCGCGGGGGCGCACGGGCCGCGGCCGCCCTCCCCGAGTCGCAGGGAGCGGGCCGGAGCGGGGCCGGAGCGGGGCCGGAGCGGTGGCGGGCGCGGGCGGCGGCGGGGCCTCTCCTCTCCCGGGACCGGGCCGCCTGGTGCGGGGCGGGGGGAGGGGCGGGGGGAGGGCGGGGCCGCGGGAGGAAGTGGGGGCGGGGCCGCCTCCCGCCCGGAGCCGATCCACTTCCTGGGCGCCCTGGCCGCCGTCCGTCTGTCCGTCCCGAGGCCCAGACCTCGGAGGCCCGGGCTGCGCTCCTGGGGTCGGACCCGCCCGCGCCCACCCCCACCCGGCGCCGGGGGCTCCCCCTCCCCGCGGCTTCTGCTCTGAACCCCGCACTTGTCCGCCCCGCGTTTCTGCGCCCTGCGCCCCGCGGCCCCGGGAGCCTCCTACTGAGTGGTCCTCCTCCCCTCACCCCCCCTACACTCACACACACTCCCCACACACATACACATGCACACACACATACACATGCACACACATACTCCCCATACACACACCTGCACGCACATACATGCACACGCATACACACTCACATGCACACACATACACACTCACATGCACACACACATGCACACACATACACACTCACATGCACGCGCACGCGCACACTCACTGGACTTAACTATAAGCTCGCAGATGCCGGCAGAGCTTAGGCCGGGTTACAGCCTCACTTGGAGCCAGACCATCCCGTGCTCAGTCTGCTCTGCCCTGACCTTTGTGACCTTGGAAAAGGGCTCAATCCCCAGGAAAAGGCCCAGAGAGGGCTGGCGAGGCGGAGCCCGCACAACCCTGTCAGATGGGTCCCGCCGTTCACAGCCTAACCTCTGTGCCAGCTGAAGCCGGAGTCTGTCACGCTGGTGGAGTCTGGGGTTTGGGTAGAAATGGGGGTTAGCACAGAAAGGAGAGTGTGTGCCCTGCGCCTACTGAACAGGCCCTGGGCTGGCTTGCTGTCAGTGTGTTGGGTGCCAGGGACTGAGATGGACAGACAGACTTCCTGCCATCAGGAACCTTTGACTTTTTCTTTTCTTTTCTTTTTAAAGTGATTCCTACCCTCCCTGCTGGCCCCGCCCTCTGACCCAGCCTCCTCAGGGGCAGGATTGGGAAGGGGGGAGGGAAGGCGGAGAGAGAGGACTCTTTTCTTCATATTCCCAAGTTCCAGCACCTTGACAAGCAGAATGCAAACAATCAATAAAATGGTGAATGAATGAACATAAAAGGAAGCGTACACTTGCCCAGGGAAGTAATTTTTTAAAATGAGGCTAGCCCAGCAGGCTGGTGTGGCTCAGTGGTTGAGCACTGGCCTATGAACCAGGGGGGTCACAGTCCAATTCCCCGTCAGGGCACATGCCCGGGTTGCGGGCCACTTCAGGAGGCAGCCGATAGATGACTCTCTCATCATGGATGTTTGTCTCTCTCTTCGCCTCTCCCTTCCTCTCTCTGAAACCAATAAAAATATTTTTAAATAAAATAACAAAATAAAATGAGGATAGTATAAGGGACCTCTGGGACAACATGAAGCATAACATATCCGCATTGTAGGGGTACCACAAGGAGGAGAAAGAGAGCAAGGAATTGAACCTGTTTGAAAAAATAATGACTGAAAACCTCCCCTCGCTGGTGTGGGAGACAGACACGCTAGTCCAGGAAGCATCCCACCAGGAGCCACGCCCGAATGTTGCTTTTGTATCTTCTGAGCTCAACATGGAGCTCAGCGATGGAATTAATTCCTCCGTCTGGAGACCTAGTAATAGCTAACATTTTCATCAGCTTCCTGATGGTGCGTTGGGTGCTCACTGGGGACTTTGTGTGCATATGAAGTCATGTATGAGTCCTAAACCCTGCCAGGTAGATTCCACGAGTCGTCACAATGTAAAGGTGAGAAGACTCATTTCTTCGAGATTGAATCATGTTTTCGAGGTCACAGAGGTCGTGGCAGAGGCAGACTGGGCGCGTGATGGTCTGGCTCCAAGCTCACGCTCACTGGCGGGAAGCTGCCTTTTACAACGTAAAATACACAACATACAGTATAGGAATAAACAAAGGCAAAGGGATGGAATGTATTCAAAGCGACCGGAAAATTAACAATTACCTTTACCTTCCTTCCTTCCTCTGAACTTTTTACAGCTTAATGTTTACCAATAAAACACTTAAATCAAACTTTACTATTGGTTGTATTCATCTAGTAAGGTCTACTAACTTGGAAAGGTTTGTCTAAGAAGAAATTGTGAAAGAGTAACTGAACTATGATTTGAGTAAAAACTAAAAATGGTCTTAATCTACTAAAGTTTCACCATGAAGAAAATAGTTATAGCCTGGCTGGCGTGGCTCAGTGGTTGAGTGTCAACATATGAACCAGGAGGTCACGGTTTGATTCCCGGTCAGGGCACATGTCCGGGTTGTGGGCTCGATCCCCAATGTGGGGACATGCAGGAGGCAGCCTATCAATGGTCCTCTCTCACCATTGATGTTTCTCTCTCTCTCTCTCTCTCTCTCTCTCTCTCTCTCTCTCTCTCTCTCTCTGTCTCAGTTGTTGGTATTAATAAAGGAAGTATGAATTAAGTTATTGTGAGCAATATTCTTTTAGATGAATTAGTGCCTTCACCAATTTTGTCCCCTTTAAATGATTCATTGAGGGGGTTTTCTAAACTCTCCAGTCTTACTTCCTCTAAACACTTGGAGACTAATTAAAGATTTCCTCCTTTTGTCATTATGGAAAAAGGACAGGGAATTTTCATAAAATGTTACATATTTGGATTTAATAGGAAATGATTACATTCACTAGGGCAGTGGTCAGCAAACTCATTAGTCAACAGAGCCAAATATCAACAGGACAAGGATTGAAATTTCTTTTGAGAGCCACAGTTTTTAAACTTAAACTATCTAGGTAGGTACATTGTTATTAACTTCATTAGGGTCCTCCTAAGCTGGCCTTTGCTAAAAACGTCCTCAATCTGATGGAGGTACGTTCGCTGAGGTCGACCCCTTCCAACTCTCCCATCCACACTCGTCTTGTGTACTTGTTTCAGATAGACGAGTGTGGGTGGGAGAGCTGGAAGGGGTCGACCTCAGCAAATGTACCTCAAAACAGTGTACCTCCCCCGCGCTGCGTATCCCGTGGCCCGCCTGCGCCGCGTCTCCCATCACCCGACCGACACTCCCACTTCTTCTAAGGCCACTTTTTCAAAACAGACTCGCCCAGGCCGAAAACCGACTTCTGCGCATGGGCCGCGAAGTTTCAATCGCACTGTCCGTGCGTGCCCGCACGTGGTATTTTGTGGAAGAGCCACACTCAAGGGGCCAAAGAGCCGCATGTGGCTCTCGAGCCACGGTTTGCCGACCACTGCACTAGGGGCGTAGATACAAAGCTCTTAATCACATAACTGCATTAGGTTTAGCTCCTAGACACATAAAAGAATTAAATAAAGGTTTGGTGCATAGTAGCATTTTTGTGAAGCATAGAGTTCTTTCTACAGTTAGTTCTTTTTCTTTTGAGTTTTGAAAAAATAACTACTATTGTAGAGGTGGTTACATTGACTAATGCTCTTAGGCATAAGAGAGGTTCTTTACAAAACTGAGTTAACATTTTAATCCTGTTTCCGGTTAATTATTCTACTTTAGTTTCTAATATCTTCATCATTCACAAAATTTTACAACTGTGACTGTAATAAAAAGTTCCTAACGAAGAATAAATCTTTCCATAAACCTAAACAATAAATATATGGAAGAAAACTTCAAGGGCAGTGTAACAACTGTGTCTGGTATAAAACCAAGAGGGAATGACACTCCTTAAAAATAATTCAAGCCCGGCTGGCGTGGTTCAGTGGTTGAGCGTCGACCTATGAACAAGGAGGTCACAGTTAGATTCCCGGTCAGGGCACATGCCCGGGTTGGGGGCTTGATCCCCAGTGTGGGGCGTACAGGAGGCAGCCTATCCATGATTCTCTCTCATCATTGATGTTTCTCTCTCTCTCCCTCTCCCTTCCTCTCAGAAATCAATAAAAATATATTTTTAAAAAAATTTCAAGCTCAGGTCGGAGAGGGGAGCTGTTGAATGGAACTGTCCACATGATGGAACCATTCCGCACCTGTGTTGCCCCAAACACTCCCATTGGGCAGATGGGATGACTGAGCCCGTGAAATGTGGTCAGTGTAACTGAGAAATTACACTTTAAATTTTATTAAATAATTTTTTATTGATTTCATAGAGGAAGAGAGAGGGGAGAGAGAGAGAGAGAGAGAAACATCAATGATGAGAGAGAATCACTGATCAGCTGCCTCCTGCACGCCCCCAACTGGGGATGGAGCCCACAGCCCTGGCTTGTGCTCTTCACTGGAGTTGAACCTGGGACCCTTCCGTCTGCAGGCCGACGCTCTATCCACTGAGCCAAACCAGCTAGGGCTACATTAAATTTTATTTAACTTTCATAGCCACATGTGGCTAGTGCCTCCCAAACTGAACAGCATGGTTATCAATGGTACATACAAGCTGGAAGAATTGGATGTGATGGGCTCTGGTCTCTCCCAGCTTTATACTGCCCTCGGTGTGAAAATGAGCAGATCCATGTTATTTCGTCTCCAGGTTCTGCTCCATTGTGCACCGAATCTTCCCGTTCCCGTGGCTGGGATCCAGCCTTCATTAGCTTAGTCACCTGGCCCTGCGGCAGGCCCAGTGCAGTGGAGAAAACAGGATCCGCTCCGCACACAGTCCTCTAACCTCCTCCCCTCCCCCTCACTGCCCCCACAGCCCTTCCCTTCCTTCCTCCCACCTTTCTCCAGGCGAAGGGTGGGGGTGGGGCGGTGGGCCTCAGGGAATCTCCAGACCCCTGGAAGCCCGGAAGGCCTCCTATGCCATCTGTAGATACCTGCTTGTCTTCTCTTTATTTAGCAGCTCGAGTCTCACAGCCGTGGCAGGAGGAGGGAGATTGTTGGGAATGGAAAGTGGGATTTTCACCACAAGCGGTTTCACTCTCACTCTGGCCAAGCCCTGCAGGCTGACCCCACCAAGATCCCGGGACAGATTCTCGCTGTGGAGGGTTTTCTGTTCTCACCACCTCCCGAGGGCAAAGGCTAGGCCGAGCTTGATTTCCA